TAGCCTTAAACTATTAATGAACAAAAACAAAAATGAATAGGGATAAAAGTGGAAAACATATTCCTTTTTTATTATTATGTTGAATTATTTTTATTATTTATTAAAGCCACATAAATGTTTTTAAATACAAAATAAACATTGAAAAATATCTACAATGTTAAGAAGAATCCATTAAAGATTTTTTATTTCTTTGAATTCTCTGTTTTGGTTTTATATTAAAAGCCAGTTTACAATTAATCTGTATTTTAACCATGGAGAGGCAATGTCTTTAATTATAAAGAATCAATGATTATTAATTAAAGCTCCCATATTTTTTCACTGACCAATGTAATGGGATTAATGGATTCAAAAAGTGTAATTTTCTATTCTTTAAATCGTTAAAGGCAAACAGAGAGTTTTGTTGGAAGAACAATAATTGGCTTACAAATGATTAATAGTTCTAGAAATGATAGAAGTTCGATTATATTGGTTATTAGAAGTCTAATTAGCTGGACAGCTTGGTCAATACTTACAACTTGCTATTGAGCTTTCAATATCCTAATCAAATGATATGAAATGGTCAACCAATATTATTCCACTCTACCTGCAAAAGTTCCTTGTTTGGTGATCTTTTAGTCTATATTAATTAAGTTGAGTTTACATTTTCTCTAATTGAGGAAAAATATTATTAGTACTGTAAAATTAGGAATTGACCCAAATATTTTTACATCTTTTAACTTAATTACAAATGAATTTCAACTTACTCTGTAACAAACCACAACTTAATTAATATAGACTTATTAAAGGTCATCCAACAAGGAACTTTTTCTAAAAGTGTGGTATCTTCAGTTCAATTAGGTGGTTATAAAGAAAATTGTTAAGAATCCTTGATTTTATGAAAAACTGAACTTACCGCACTTTAATTATTTAAAAGTCCCCATTAAATAGTTTTAAAATAGACAAAATTTACTTCTTTTTACTTGGCAGTCTCTGTAGTTTCCTTTTCCCATACTAAATTCAGTAGATGCTGAAATATTTCCTGATGGTTTGCCCATTTTCTGACTGTCAATTGCATCTGTTATTTCCTCCTCCTATGAAATCTTCTCCATCCTCATTCCAAGTGACATCTCTATGGATGTTTTGTTCTGGCATTGACTAACTTACCCGTATACTCATTCTGCACCTTCTCAAAGTGGGCTGTTCATTATTTTATTATTATTTGTTAGAATAATAATTTTCTCATCTTGTATGTGTTTTATAACGGGCTCCTTTTCTTTCCGCATATTTCTTAGACATCTATTGAAGGGCTTCTAATTTCCTTTTGCATCTTCCTCTAACTTATTCCCAAAATTTTCTCTTTGACTGTAGGACTTTATACTGTGCTCTTTTCCGCTATTCTTTGTACCTTGCATAGTCTTCCATGTTTTTTGTTTGATTTCACTTTCCACTTCTTCGTTCCACCAGGCTGTTCTTTTTTTAATCTTTGCCCAATATTGGTTTTTCCACACACCTCTATTGCTCTCAGCAGTACTTGTTTTATTGTTTTGCAGCTTTCCTTTGCATCCTCAGTGTCCTATTGATCTTCATTGCTAGTTGCTTTTACTTCTATTGCAGACCTATATGCTTCTGCAATGTCTTCTGCTCTAAGCTTATAATTTTTTATTTTTGTGGCTTTGCTAGGTCTTGACTTTTCTTACTTTGTATTTGAAGAAATCTATTTTAAGGAATAAAAATCAGATGGGCTAAATTGCCCTTGTCAACATAATTTAATTAGTCAAATACTACAACCTTGACATTGTAGGTTAGGACTTCACTTAATTAGTAATAATAACCACACACAATTTGATTGCCACAGTCCTACTTAGTGTATATATATGTAAATATTTTTAAATTATGGCGATTAAATTTTTAAACTTTATTGTTGTGATATTGTTTAAATATGTGAATTGATTTAAAATTAAAGTTTGATTTATTAGTGAAGTTTACTGGACTCTGAGGGTTTATTTGGTTCATGTACTGTGAATTCTAAGGATCAAATAAACGACATTGATACACTTAATATTATATTTAATAAACAAAAATAAAATTGGAATTATGTTTATATAATCTATTATTATAAATATATATATAAAATACTGTTAAAATGTCTTTATGGTAGCTCGAAACGTAGGCTGCTCCATCAACTAAAGGCGGTCTTCATCCGTTATGTCTTTTCTAATGGCTGTAGAGATGTTTACTGGAGCGGTCACGGGAACTGACAGACGACTTTGCATCCATCCTGGCCAACAGCCCAGAACAAGACTGGGCTGAAGTTACGGAGGGAGGGGGGGTTGCATTCTCTCTCTAATATTTTTAACTCTAATGTATTTTTTTAATTTTAATAATCAATAAATAAAAATCATTACAGTATATTACAACTTTTCCATGGAGATAGGTTCACTCAAATGGCTTGGTCATTAAAATGTTAAAATCTAAAAAAAAAAAGCTTTGGTGTAGTTACAAAAACATTAGTTCTGAATGATTTCGGTTGCAAAATTTATATAATAACTCTTCCCATTTATGTAAGCTACAAAAAAGTTCTTTGTAAATTTATTGAAAATCATAAATAACACTTACTTATAACCATTTTATAGGGAATTAATTGTTCTTTAAAGTACAATATAAATAATATTAGCAATGTGCAATACAAAGAAGTTATAGACTCCAAATCCTAAAGAACATTAAACATTCCTAAAAAATTTCTGTTTTTTTTCTGTTTCTGAAAATATGGAAGGTCGATAGCTTCAGTAATGGTGAAAGTTAAACTAAAGGTTTCTGGAAAAAATATTGTTAGTTCAGAAGTTACTTGGAAAAGGTACACTCATTGTAAAAATAAAATAGCAATAAAACAATAAAAAAAGGAAATAAGTGAAGAAATCATTGATGTCTAAAGATAATTAGAGTGGGGGCCGTGATCCCACATTCATTCTCCTCTATATTCTTCTGTAATTTTTGCGTGCATCTATGCTGAAATAAGAAAAAAACAAGTCTATTTGTATACTGCTCAGACATTGGGTAGTTAAAATTTGACAATCCAGTATCTGTGAGTACGTAGTATGATGATTAAATTAAAATCTTCCGCTGACTATAAATTTGAGTCCAGGCATTGTGCTCAATAGAGGTGATTCTGCTTAGTTCACAATTGAATATTCAAATTCACGTCAAATTGGAGTGATCGTGAATTAAGGATTGAGGGGGAAATAACTATTTTTTATATAATATTTTTTGTTATATTTACAACATTTTTAGAATACATTTCAGTTACAGGTTTTATGTCTACTTCTAAGTAAAATATTTTGTTAATAGTTTCAGATAAGTGCTGCTAAGCCTGAAATGATCTACCTTCTACTTAGTTTTGTTGTTTCTGATTGTCTTGTAAGTGATTAAATAAGTGGTGATTAATAGTGTTTTACATTTATTTGTAAATTTCACAAATATTTTTGATTTTTTTTTCTTTTCCCTACCTTATTAAAGGTTAATATATTTTTTTAATTAAACATTAACATAGATGAATGTTCAATTAAAATTGAAGTTTAAACTCTGTAAAAAAAAAAAAATTATAATAAAAAAGGTTATTGTTTAAACCATTAATTCATTCAATTTGGTGTATTAAAAGAAATGTTATGTTTTTTATCTATTTATGTTCTTTTATGTATCCTTAAAACATTGTTAATAAATTTAAGAAATTAAAGTTAAGCTTCATTGTTACTACTCGGCCTTGAAACTATCATCGAATATAACAATGTCAAATTATGCGAGAACAAACAATTTTAATTAGTTTATGTAATTAGCGTCTAATAATAATCTAATGTTTTGTAATTTACATGATTGCTATATTTTCTAACATGGTTTTAAAATTATCTTCCATAATACTACCGTTAATCGATTGTATCCTGTCCTCCTTACTATTACCTCTTTACTTACTCATCACAATTTTAATATTTTCTGATGAGGACAGTTTTTGAAACAGGTCATAATTACAGCTTTTATCCTGGCATTAGTTAAAACTGAACTGAGAAACATTATTTAAGTTTTCTTGTAACCTAAATAAGCAAAATAAAATAAAAACATTCAATGGAATCAACATAAGAATCAAAAGAAATAGGTAATGCCATTTCTATGACTTCGACTGTAGGTATATATGAAAATATGTTACCAAAGCAATTGATTATATTACATATATTTAAACGTTTGAGGCAATAAAATGAAATCTATTTGATAAAATCTTCACATAAAATGGAAGGGTGCACATGAATGAATCATAAAATGTTCTTTAATACATTTAATACTTAGTTACATAAAAACTAGGATATGTTGCTACATATAATCTTTGAATATAAATTTTCAACAATATGAACATAGGGCCTGATAAAATACTTGCGTACCTATGTCTTAGCCAACTTATCGACTTTTCCTATTTTGTTAATTGATTTTAGTTTAAATATTTTATTGATTTATATAGATTAATTATTAATTTTGATTTTATTTTTGTTCTTCAAAATATTGGAGAGGTCAAACGAGATTTTCATCCCCTCTCTATTTTTATTGGCGAGGCAATCTACCTCCCTCCCCTCCCTCTCTGCAAAGTCTGTACCTATACCCATAAGGGTAAAATTTCTCCATTTTACTTCTGTTTAATAGGATTAAACCACCATCTTAAACTCTTAATTCCACTTCAATAACCATGGAAGCTCTTCTAAGCTTAGTTCAATTTTGAGAATGGGTCTCTGCCACTTCTGTGTAAAGAATAGTCATCAGCTTGGCTACTTCACTTTTTCATTTTGTTTCTAAAGAGTGAATGAACTCAATATCTATTCTAATTCCTAACTTACTTTTGAACGTTGCATCAGTAATACTATTGTAAATTAAAGAGTTATTTAAAAGTTGCTAATTTAATTTTTCAGTAACTAATGTAAAAGTGTCATTGATTTTAATAATCCTATTCTGTTAACAAATAAAAATTCGCATATAATATTAGTTATTTATAAATTAAAATGTTCCATTGATGTTTTTGTTGCTTGGAATACTTCCTCTACTGAAAATGGCTGCTCTGTAAAAAAAAAAAAAATACATATATATGATTAGGAAAGGAAGGAAAAAGAACAGGAGAAAGTTAATATCTTACTGAAGTGTAACCAGTCATTTTCTCCACAATCTTTTCTTGCAGACATGACTGCATTTTTTAAAGCATGAAAAGCACTCAAAGCAAGACATACAGGAGGTTCGCCAGTAGCTAAAATAATAGACAAGTATAACAAAATAAATTTTACATAAAGACAATAATTTGAAAGGATACAAAATGTCAGTACTTGTTTTTATACCTTTTGAACGAACTACTCCATGGGGATTAGGTGCATTTTTTAGTAATGTAACTCTAAAATCAGTTGGGATATCTTTTGGCCCTGGTACCCAATAATTCTGAAAAGTAAATTTTATTGTGTAAGTTTGATAGATTAAGTTAACATCTTTTACATACACAGAATCATTTATGTAGTTAAAAAAATTTTGAATGAATCAATTTATTCCACCATTTATCAGTATATGGCATTAACTTATTTGTTGATTATTTTATTTGCTGCTTTTTATATTATAATTTGTCATATTTTAATTATTCTATAATAAAATTATACTGAGTATATTTTATTACAAGAATTTGATTTGTTAAAGTTAGCATTAAGCATGCTAACCAATTAAATAAAGTGGTCACATTCCCTAACTTTCATTGCATACTGCATAATAAATGAAAAACAATTTACTTATGATGGTGGTTGAGGAATGTTTCATACCTGATTTTAAAGGTTATTGTATGCGATTTTCTTTGATATATAATATGAAAACATCAAAGCAAACTTTTTTCATTTATTTTTCGAATCTTATAAATACTATCTTAGAATTTTTTTAAATTTATTTTATTTCGATATATATTAATTGAATTCAATACATATCGAAATAACATAAACTAATTGCTCGTGCGAATAATTCACAGAATATTTGTTTTGTGAATGAATAGCAAAACAAGATGGAAATAAGTAAATCCTATATATTATGAGAGAAAGGAATTAATTGTTTTCCTTGGTTGATTACAATAATTTAGTTAACATAATAGACCAAACATAGTAATACAACTTTTGTATTGCTTTTCTATGGTATATTTTTAAATTGTGATGGGAAAGGTAATAGTCAAAATAAGGTGCGATCATGAGATTTTCTAAATTAAAAAATATAAAATGTGCCAACAAAAAAATGTCAGTAGAATAGTATATGCACTATCTTCAAAGAGGAAGAAATTATAAAGTATACCAAATCTAATGGACTGTATATTTGTTAATAATGATCCTTTTTTTACAATTTTTTTTTTGTTTTGTAGGGAATCTAGTAATCTTTCTAATAATCATGTGTACAATTTAGAAAAAAATGTATACTTTTTGAGTTATTCGTAAATAAAGTTTCTTTTTCTTCACTTTGAAAAAGTGAGGAAGATATGGCGTACCGACAAAAAAAAAAAAAAACACTTTAGAAATAATATTAAAGATTTAAAAAAAAAAATCTAAGATTGTGTTTATCAACATATTGATTGACTTCCTTGGTATAGGGAAGTGGCAACCCCACTGCTCAGTCATTGTCAAGCAGTCCTCTATACTACCACTGGCCCTCCAGGTTGGGGAAATAGTCTTACTAATCCTGTAAAATAAAAAATCCTATAAGGATAAAGAAGATAACTTGGTGAGCAGCAAGCCTGATTATCTTGACAAATGGAGAAAGTACATCAATAATCTTCTAAACTTAACAGAAAAAGACTCCTGTGATGAAATATAAAATCAACAGAATATAGGTGGGGTAACAAGAGGTAGACCTTGAACCAGCTGATTAAGATAAGATTGTAGATGTCACCAGCAAAATAAAAAATTATAAGATCCCTGTTGCTGACGCATTCCCAACAAACAAGTGCAAAGAGCACCTAAAGAAGTTTTCACTTCAACAAACACAAATATACAATGTCTGTTTTTAATGGTTACTGGAGAGAGATTTCTGTAACTTTTTCAAATACTGTACTTTTTGGTATAAATCAAGACAAGAAGGAAAGGAAATGGATATGATTTCAAGGAACGTAATAATTTGAAAAAACAAATGAAAATTTTTTATTATTGATATATTATTGCCAACCTTATAAAATAATTAATATTATAATTTTTAGATGAGCAAACTAAATTATTATTATTTTCGTTCATTACTTACTGATGTGTTATGGGTAAGTGTGAGACCTGATTTAGTGTCATAAATTATATTTTCTGTTAATAAGTAACCAAGTCCCATCACAAAGCCTCCTTCAACTTGACCTATATCGATTTCAGGATTAATACTTTCTCCAGCATCTTGAAGAATGTCTGTTCTAAGAATCTTAAAAAAAAAAAATTAAATTGAATTTTTTTTTATATAATTGTATTATGAATTATTTTTTCACTAAATATTATTTCAATGCAATTGAATCTTATACATAAATTATTTGTTATAAGACATCAAAGCCACAATAGTGGACTGCTTCAAGTTAATGTGTACTAAAATTGCTTATTTAAATTAAATTTGTATTGTTGAACAATTAAAATTGTCCAGTAAGAATTTCTCAATGAACTAAACAAACATTCAATTTATCTCAAAGCTATCATTGAAATCAATGGACTAGAAATGAGATCATTGAAAAGATTTTACAAAATATACTGTTTCTGAAAACTAAGATTCCAAACCTGAGGATAAAAGCTATGTTTTGTTTGAAAAAGAGTTAAGAGACAATTTCTCAATATGCATATCAGAATGTTTACTCTGGACCAGACATTAATTGATTTCCGTAGTGTGACTTACACACATCAACAGAAGGTAGGCTCGTAGCATGATGCTCTTTTATGAATCTGTGGGCCCTTTCACACCGAAGATGCATATATCCTGGAAGTAGAGTATACACTAGACTGTGTAATAGAAAGACAGCTTTCACACAGAAGTGTGCAAAGTGCGTTTTGCTGCCTGGATGCAAGATGCACTTGCCCCTTGGGAACCAACCGGCTGGAATTATCAGCATGCATCTTTGTGCTGGTCTTGCATACTCGCCCCAAAAAAATACATATTTTTTGCATTAATTTTAAAAATTGTATTAAGAATAACTAATACGGATCAATTCATAAAGGTTCAACCAAATATTCTCAAATCCAATTTACCCTTATGAGATTATAATGACATTTAAAAAGAATAAAAGTTAGAGATTGGAAATATTATATTTCATTACTAACAGACAGTAATATTAGTTGTACAAGTAAATGAAAGTTTTTTCTTTCCTCAAGACCGTCCTATATGGGTACCCATTGACTCCACCTTTTATTTAATTTTAAACTTTAGTTCATTTAACGGAGTTGTGTTTGTTTATTTATTTAGATTAGAGCAAAAATAAATGATGATTGTATATAGTTAAAAGAATAATAATAATGTTTATTTCTTATATAGGTAGACAAAATTAAAAAAAAAAAATGAATACGAAGATTTAATATTTAATGGAAATATTTTTTATTATTTTGGTTTGAGGTATTTTTCGAAACAAATAACTATAAAACCTTATTTTCTGTATGTTCAATACAATTGGTTAGACTAAATTTGAGAGTATTTCGTTATATTCATTCGGGTATTCATATATATATATATATATATATATATTTGTAAATATTTTAAATATTAACAATCTTTAGGTGGATCATGGCTGTTAAAATTAATAAGAATTTATCTTTAACAATAAATCCTAAAAAGTAAAAAGAAATAAATTTTTTGGAGGATATCGGAGCTTTTTTTAAATTGTATTCTTGGTAAATATTTGATTTTAAAACACTTTTTTGTTAACAAAAATGGAAAAAGATTTAAAGTAAAACCGGTTTTATACATTATTTTATTTTTTCTACGTAAGCAGAATGACAGGAAAAAGTTGGTAAAGCTTCAAGAGAAAACTATGAACCACCAGCTCAAACCAAGTAATTTTACAAAGAGTGAATGATTGATTATTCATATTTTAAACTCACCTACTAAACTAAACAGAGATAATGAATATAAAGAGAAGGTGCAAGAGGCACGTGCATCTTTGGTAAGAAGGAGTATATATGATACTTGCCTCTCAAGCTGCATTAAATTCATTCTGGGAGAGTCCAACTTCAAGATAATCAATGAAGATGTATTTGTATAGTACGAGTGTCTAAAGTTGAAATTAATAACAAGCTAAAAAGTTTAAAAAATATAATAAAATAAAGCTTATCTAAATTATTTTCACTCATATGTAATTCTGTGTGGCGACCCAAAACCAGGGAAGTCATCCACCCTGTTCATTTTGTCTACCTTTAAAGACTAGGAGCAGAACAATCAATAAGATTTTATTTTATTTTTATCAACAATCGATATATGTAATTAAATAATCTTTTCAGATTATTATTGTTATTAAAAAAAAATATTATGTTGATCAACAAAAATCAATAAATTTCTTTAAAGATATTCATTAAAGTTAATCAACCTTAACTTATCCATATTACTTAACAACTAGTAATAAGACTTCAATTCACTCAGAGGACTCTAAAAATTATCTTGGTGTTAATTATGCAATAATCAACATCATATAACACCAATATAATCCATAAAATGATGGATTAGAAATGTTATAATTATTTTGAGTACATTTTTATAGAAAAAGATTAGTACATCTGTTTAGTTCAGTAGATGTATATACCTACTCCAGCAGCAATTTTAATTCATTGAGAAGCTGAGTTATTCAGTCAGCTTGAGTGAAAAAAAAACAATTAAGAAATATGTTTGAACAAGTTCTACATAGAACCAGAAGATGGTCATAGTTGTAATAGATGAATGGCAAGGGAGCTGATTCCAAGCCTCCTATGGATAAAAAATTAGAAATTGTATGCACACCATTGGGCTGAATGAAGTTCTTAATTCAGTCTCAGATTGTAGGACTTCAGAAATGAAATAAAATAAAGAAAAGGACACATGAGTGATGGCTATTAAGATATTTACCTGATACTGACCAGTGAGAACATCTAGTTCTACCTCTGTTACTGCAACACCATATGCACAGTAGCTCTTTATTTCTTCATCCTGAGTTTTGTTCCTGTACATATTAAATTTTAATTCCTTATTCACTACTATTTTCAACTGGAACTTTGTTTAATTTATGAATGATTATTATTACAAAGTTGTATATAATGAAAACTTGGTTGCTTTACTACTATTATAAAAATGTTTAATTATCATGATTTTCTTTACAAACTTAAGTAAGATCCCAGAGTCATTGATTAATTATACATTCTTCATTTATTTTTATACATTTGTCGGTAGTATCAATATATATATATATATATATATATATATATATATATATATATATATATATATATATATATATATATATATATATATATAATGTATTTACTGGTAATAAGTCTTATGGCCTAAAGTAACCTTTATTTTTCTGTTTACCTTTGTATACATAAATACAGAATAAAATACAATACATGTCTATGATTTGATTTGCAAGTTTTGTAACTTATGGTATAACTATATCATAGCTTACATGTAGGACGCATTTAAGTGTATATTGTCTGTGTTGGCTTGTCTTATGATTTCTTCCCATTTGGCATCCTTCATTTGTTTTTTTATTGGTTCCAGTCTGTCATTTAAAATTTCACAAGCCTTCATAGTGCTCTGCAAAAAGTTTTATACAATGTAAATTAAAACTAGTAATTATATGTGCAAAGATTCCATAACTTCTGTATATTTGATAAATTATTGCAATTTACTTACATACACAACATTATCACTTGTAATACTAGCTCCGGACATATGTGCGTTTGGAGATGTTAAGACTGAACTACATTTAACTTTTATTTTGCTTTCATCTATTCCCAGAGTAGATGCACATATTTGTACTGCCTGGAAGAATAAGAAAATTAAATAAATATTTTTTATATTTTGATCACTTTATTCGGAAAAAAGAACAATTATTATAATTTATTGGAATGGAGTTCAATATTGAAAATAATTTTTTTTATTTGATGTACCTAACATTCATCATTAGCAGGACCCCGATTTTTATGCAATTGCATATTTTTAATGTATGCAATTTTTAAACTGATGATCAAATATCTAGTGTACTCAGATGCGATTAGTCAAATTTTATAATGCATGTAATTCCATATTTTTATTATTTTAAATAAATAATAATAATTAAAAATAATGAATTAAAATGGAATATTAACATGAAATTCCATAATATAATTGTAGGTTGATTTTCAATCAACAAATAATAAAATAACACTACCTTCTGTTATTTTTTTCTATGAATATGGATTTTTTAAATTTCCTGGCCTTTCATCTCCCCTTTCCATTCCTTTTAACTTCTAAAAACCAGATTAACTTAAAAAACCTTAATAATCCTTTTAACTTAAAAAACCAGACTCTGATTCAATTTCATTCATTTTTTTTTTCATCATCGAAATAATAAATCAAACCTTACAATTCCCAAGCTGAAATCATTTTTGAAATTCATTGAAAGGTTCATTTCCACTTATACTGTTCAAAACAAATCAATAATTTTAAGTGGATACAAATTTGCGTTTTTTGATATTATCTCTTTACCCATTAATAAATGTATATTCTTATTTATCATTTTATTCTATAATTATTTTTGTTTATAAAAAACTCACCTGTCTTGTAGATAGCTCATTACTCATTAGATTACTCATCACAGAGAAGAGACAAATTGGTCTATATGACTTAGGGAGTTGTTTATCCCTGCCTCCTCTCTTGTTGAGGAGTCTCAAATTAGTGATCTTCCATTTCCTGGGAAGTATTCCCTATCCAAACAATCATTAAACATTCCTAAAAGTCGCTCTTCAATATAGAGGATACTGTTCTTTAGGATTCCCTGCATCTGTAGCATCAAGTCCTGGAGTGTGGCCATTCTTTTGCTTGCCCATGGCAATACGAAGATCATAGGCGTCCCATGGTGGGCAAAAGTCTGTGCCTGGCTGGTATACCTCCTACTATGGTATATATCACAAAATGTTCCTTCTGGGAGTCTTAAGATGTGTCGTCCTTGGGGTAAATCGCTTCAACAAAGAAATTAGTGTTCTCTTCTAAGGTGGTAGCATGGACATCTTCATGGCTCACCGCCGAAATTATTTGCAGTGGGATTTTTGCAAGTGCAGTCAACTTACCCAGAGCCACTTTTTACAGAACACTCCAAGGATTCTTTGAAAATTCTTCGACGATAAAAATAAAAAATAAAAAATTCGTCCCAAGACTTTATCTTTCGTGAACGAACCTCATTTCAGTATACCCTGGCCATGGACTTGTACTTGTTCCAAAGTGTAGTGCGCCTGTTGTCGCATATGCACCTATGGTACGACTGCCGGGCCTTGTAGAGGTCTCTCTTCATAGTTGTTAAGGCCGGCGTCTACCACGGGGCAGGTCGAGCCCTTGACTTCCAGCGCTGGAGAGATTTCTCGGCGGCATCACGGTTGGCATCTGAGCACACGATTACATTTGTTATACATTGTAAGATCGTTTCCATGGCGGATATGTCCTCTTCAACATCTCTTCGTATATCGTACATGTACACAGATATCAGTGTGAAAGCAATCCTACCCCACCTGATGTAACATACCACACGATCCACCATGGTATACTGTCTTAGTTCCATCAAGGTTAGGGTTATTAATAACTATAGCAGCCCTGCTTTAGTAACATTTGGCACTGCAAGAGCTTGATGGCTTGATTCTTAACTTTTACGTGTACGAGGACTGCACCAGCCTTGTCCCCACAGATCACTCTTGCCTGTACTCCTAATTCATTCAGAGATGGCAGTTTGTTAACAATTTCTAAAGCACTTTTTCCTCCTCTAGCCATTGTAACAAACGCATGCTGCGGTGAATTTTCCTTTGGCTTAATCGGTTGTGTTTTAATTATGTCCGCTATAGTTTTCTTTTCCAGGAGTAAAATTGATGCCTTAGAACTATTTTTTTGTGATCCTTCCAGTTGCTCATTTACTTTCTCACTCTTTTTTTCAATCATTTTTACTTTTTCCTTTGACTTTGTACTAAAGCAAAATCTTCCGACTCGAAAACTTGTTCTGAAGGTTTAATTATTAATTTGTTGTTTACTTCATTCTTGTTCTCAGAAGTGCCTACTTTAGGCGGTGGGTTGTGGTTTTGTATTTCTACTGTTGGAAGCTCCTCCATAATTTTTGGAAGAGATCGTTCAACAAGATTGTCCATAATTTTGTCAAACACGCTAGGAGATTATAGTGTCTCCTTGACAACTTCTTCAATCAGTGTTTGCTGTTCTTTCGATTTATCGATGACGGTTTCCATGATATCGATAAGATGACTTACTTCACCGTTTATGTCTTCTTGCTTTTTCACATTTGATCTCTTATCCACATTGGTAAGGTAAACTCTTAGATTTTCTTGAACGGCCTTTACCTCTACTAGCAACGGATCTGTTTTATTCTCATTTTGGTCTGTTATGTCAGGCGATGATCCATTCCTTGCTCTCTTGGCCGCAGGCCTTGATCTTTTAGGTTTTCCCTCAGCTCCTATCTCCTCTTCCATATCTATTGCACCAACATCCATAGTGAATAGTGCTTTAACACTAATTAATGCAGTGATAACAGTTTTAACCTATCTAATTTAAAAATAGCTTAGGAAAAGTTATCTGGCTATTGTCTTTATAATTCTTTTGGAGCCCCAATGGCAACATCCTAATATCTTTGCTAATAAAGGATACTATAATTATCTTTTGGTAGTCCTTGATAACTTAATACAATTCTGAAATTATTAAACAAATTTAGGTAGGTTATGAGTAACTTACCTCAACCAAATATCAAACAGAGTCTTTTCTGATGGACTTTAATTATTCTAATAACAATACTGCATTATAAGTCTTAATGTTCCAAAGTCTAAACCTCCTGGAAAACCACGTGAGGCTTCCTAAGCTCTCTGTTCAAAACTTATAAAAAACACTTAAATTAACAAACCATGTCTAAAAAAGTTAAATGACAGTAAACAAACAAAAAAAAAAAAAACAACAGCAGAAAGACTGCAATCAGAACACACCCAATATACCGCAAATGTGACTGATCACAAGCAAGGACAGAGATAGATTGCAAAAAAAAAAAAAAATGTCACAGTTGGTGTCATATGGTTAATTATTACCCCGTTTATAGTAATAAAGAAACTTAATTGCTTATGAGAAACTAAATCAATATTAGAAACCCCTGTACCTCACTTTATTTTATAATAGAGAAAATCAGAGCTTTATATGTCAAGTGTCAACTTTTATCTCCTTTTAGTATATGAAAATAAAATAAAGACTATAAAAATAAATGATTAAAAGTTAAGTTTTCTAAAATAAAAAATCTTAACCAAGCTCTAAAATATTATATTTGTTATTTAAAAGACTGATTTTTTTTACTTAAATCATTTTGTAGCCAATTTTCATGTATAATAAATAAATTTAGTTATAAATTATACATTTTTAATATTTGTGTCCACAGATATATTGGTCAGGGAAAACGATCATTAAAATAGGGAAATATCAGGGAATTTTACTTTAACTGTCTGATAGCCACCCAGTTAGTTCAAATGAATATGCAATAGATTGTCTAAAATATAGCCTGGTCTGGTAGCCACCATATTCAGAGATTTTTCTTTACTGGTGAACACTAGCAGATCCAGGAATCAATTTTAGGAAACTTCAACCCGAAAGCTTTTTTTCAAAATATATAAAGATAATTACTTTAGAAGAAAAAAAAGATGCTAGCTACCTACAAGAAATGGTGTTTAAGTAATTCTTGAAGTCCTATTAAATGTAATTAATGAACTATAATACTTGTTATTATTTTTTTGTAAGACATGGATATATTTCATCATTTTCGGGGAGAGGAGATGGGCTTCAGCCCGAAAGCATAATAAGCTTGATATATTTGATTCTAAAATTTGTTTATTAGTGAAAATATAAATTATAATGATTTTCTAGTTCATTTTATTGGTTTAGTTCATCGATCCTTTCATACAAGTACAATGAATTAATTCATTAACTATGTTTTTTCATATAGAACACAATAATTATATTTGTGTGATAATTAGTTCAATTTAAACAAATACCATAACATTTTGTGAACTGAGATTTGAACTCCTATTTCAAAATGGAAAGTGCCTTGCATATTACTTGGAATTCTGTTCAGATAACCTATAAATTGTATTCTTCCCATATTTTTAAAAATAAAAATAATATTAAAATTCTGACAGTTCCATTGTCTTATTAATACTTAAACAAAATAAAGTTTTTTTACTTAGATATTTAAGAATATATCAATTTTAAACAATTAAAACTCCATTTTGATATATGTTAAAGGGAAAAGCTTTCAATAACGAATGAAGTGAATCAGATCAAGTTTCTATAGTTTTAATACTTAGCACCAAGCCTTAATTCTTTATATGTTAGAGATATTTATGTTTTTTAAAGGGCTCTTTATAAATAAAGTTCCAAGATTGGAGTTTCGTGGTTTATAAACTTGAGTTAAATGAGTTTTCACTCAGACTGATTAAATAGAAGAAAATCTATTATAATTTAACTTACTTTGGTGTTGATACCTTGTCCCATTTCTACACCACCATGTGTTATAGACACAGTACCATCGTATCCATATATTGAAACCATAGATGGTTGACAGAAAAAGTAAAAAACATCAAATGACATTGGAATAAGTGAAATACCTCTCTTTTTCCATCTGTTTGACTGTAGAACAAATTAATATATTTAAAATAATCCTTGAGCATATTAGAAAGCATTTGTAGAAATCATTTTAAAGGATATTATGAAAATAAATGTTATGAACTATCATGATATTAAATTAATATTTATATACTGAAAAAATAAATTAAGGAAAAATAATATACATTTTCTCGTTCCATAAAAATAATATATTGTGTGCTTATAGCTAAGTAATATAAAAAGTATCAGCTCAGTAAACTGTTAAGCAACCGTAAAAAAAAGAAATTCTTTTTCATTGGCGCGACAAATGCACCAGGTGGTCCTTGGCCTACTCAATCGCTCTAGCCCACTCCTGTCAGTCCGCAGCTAGTCTTCTGGAGGTCTTCTGAGACACTGTCCTTCCATCTACTTCTTGGCCTCCCCCTCAAGCACGCACTCCTTCCGGTTAACCTTGATATAACCTTTTGATGGTTCTCTCCTCATCCATTCTATTGAGGTGACCCAACCACTTCAGACGCTGTATCCTGACATAGTCTGACAACTTCATATCGCCATATAAGGAGTATAGTTCTCTATTCTTTCTAATATGATATAACCCATTTTCCTTCAAAAGCCCTAGAATGCGCCTTAATATTTTACATTCAAAGATGTCAACATTCAAAGCTACTGAATTAAAAATTCAGCCAAAAAAGTTATTAAACAAATCAATATAGTCCAAGAAATAAAACACTTTCAAAAAGCAAAAGTTCAAGTTACTGTGTTTTTTTGATAGATTGGTTGGGTTAGGATAGACATTAAAAATCTAAATTTGTAACTTTATTTTATTCAAGAAAACCTAAAATGTTTGTTAAGTTTTCACTCTGGTCTAAATATTGCGGTTACTACTAACTATATGAAAAACAAAGTGCATACCTTTATTGAAGTAGAGTAAAGTTACTAAAATTTGTAGGCTAATGTACATGGTAGGTAGTTACCCAGATAAAGTTTTTAAAAAATGGATGCCTTGTAGTTCATGTAATACTGCACTTTTCTCTAGATGACTCATTTTTTTATGAATATTTCCATACTATCAAAATCTATTTTTATTGCTGTAATGGGCTAATAAAAGTACAAAATACTGATAATATTTCACGAAATGAGTTGGTAAGTGTGACTGTTATTTTTATTTTAACAATTTATACCATTTGAACTAGTGCTGCAGCGCACCTAGCAAATTTAATGTAGTAGGCATTAGCTGCAAGTTTGCTTGATTAGTTTTCAGTTTGTTATCATCATAAGAATAGGTCTCTTGGCTATTTTCTTTTAAAGACTAATGGATTGAAATTATTTTGAATTGAAGAAGAAATGAAGTGTATTTATTGAGGATGTAGGATTTTACTGTTGTTATATATAATGTTATCCGAAATATACCAAGATGCGTTGACAATTTTTTGTAGAATTTTTTATTTTGTTGTTTATTTTATTGATGTGTGTTTTTGCTGAATCCCAAGTTCTGCTCCATTCGTCCAAAAAGGTCTCAGTTCATCCACTACTACCGTATCAACCATCTTTATATTTGTATACAAGAGCCCACCGAACTACTGCTTTTGACTGATCTTTCATTATTCGATCCTCATCCCCATGGAATTCTATCCTTTCCTACATCCGTTGCTCCAATACCCTCCCCATCTTTAAATCCCTGCTGTTCAATCACCTCTTATCCGTTCAGTCCTCATAAAATTGTAAATAGATGTTGCAAATATACATATATAAATAATTAGTTTATTTTAAATACTGTTATTTCATTTTTTCTTAATTGAAGTTTAAATGTAATGTTTTGAATGTACTTTTTTCTTTCATTTATACATTATATAAATTTATTTATTTTGTGATTATTCTCTGAGGCTACAAAGCCCACATCTTCATCTCTCTACATTATTCTAAAAGGACTTGTCCCAGAATAAATAAATCATTACTATTATTATTTTAGAATTTTTGCACTTCCTTGGATTTTGCAAGAAATATTCACCTACTTGGACCTAGGTCAAGGATTAGGCTCAAATTTTAGACTATTTATTAGATTATTTATTTTTCCCAGATAGTACTTCTTTGGACTCGTACCGATAATAAGGAACCTGATCAGTAATCAAGTTATATAATAAGGCTAAGGTTTGGTGCACAATCTTGGCCAGGTTATTGTGCCTCATCAGGTATTCCTTACCTTCCAACACTTGACATACCGATGATATATGCTGGATTGATTCAGCTGAATTTTTACATAGGCGACATCAGTCACTTATGTCTTCTACACATACATATTTCCTAAAAGCATTGGTGGAAACTACCTGATCCTGATTTTAAGCCAATTAATAGAAGCATCTTTGTTAATTCCCGATTGAGGAATAGAATTGCAAAAGCGACCATGTAGTGCTTTATTTTTCCATCTTTCGATCAGAGGCTCTTCTGTAGGGATGTCTTTGTGCTCTGCTGGAATCAAGTTTAAGGCTGTGTAGCCATCGTCTAATGACCTTATTGCTAACCATATAGGAGATTTACAGTGTAGAAAAGAGCATCTTAAATTATTTTCTTGTTTTCTGCAGCTTTTTAGTAAACAGACAAGCCCTCTTCCTCCTTGCTTCCGATGCAAGTACATCTTCTCAATAAAAGATTTTGGATGTCGTTTTCTGGCTGAGGTAAAAAGAAATCTTACCACGCGAATAATTTCTTCAAGCTCCATATTAGACCACTTGAGAATGCCAAAAGTATAATTCAGCACAGGAGTAGCCCATGTATTTATTGCTTTAGTTAAATCATGAGATGACAAGTACATTTTGAGGAATTTATTTATTCTTCTTTTGAATTCTTTAAAATTATCTTTTTTTTTTTTTTTTTTTTTTTTTTTTTTTTTTTTTTTTTTTTTTTTTTTTTTGTTCTACGCCTTGATCATCTTGAGCTCTTTCAGCCATGCGACGTCTAGCAGCCCAGTAAATTTCACCTTCTGTCCTTCTGTCCTGGCTTTGTTTCTAATGTCCTGTAATCCTATCAACTTGGCCAGTCTATCAACTGCCCCCTGCAGTGGCACATGCCATGCCCTGATGAAGACTTGCAAGATGGGTCTAAACATCAGCATAATAATTAAAACCACTATTTTTTAAAAATTTAGTATTGATTTGACCGCACCTCCCGACCAACTCCTTCTCATTATTTGTTATTTATTATTAATTATTATTATTAATAGTCTTCTAAATGCAACAATAAAATTATCAGAGAAGTTTTGCTTGATTTTTAGCTTTCAAAGGAATGGAATTCAAAAGTTATTGATGTAGCAGTAATTTGGCTTTCCAACAGTTGTACAAACGTTGAATTTGAAAAAAAAAAAACAATGAGAAATTATGAATGATTTAGTTAACAGCCAGAAAAAAACAAAAAAAAAATGCTCCAAGAAAATCAAGTAATGAACTATGCAAATTTTGATTTATATAATAATTCGTATTTAAGAGTTTTAAAGGGTACTAAAAACAAGTCTAACTTGCTGTTGGTTTTTTGTACTTTATGACACATTAAAACTCAGTAGTACTATCGGCAATATTTGTCTCTTATTCTGTACCAAAAAAGAAATTGATTGGTACATAATAATCTAAAAGTCCAGCCAAAGCAAAGGCAAAAATAAATAACATAAATTTTGTTTTAAATTATATAATATATTTTTTTTCTCGCTCACAGGGCCAATTGGAAGGAGCTCCTGTACATGTGTCCAATATTGTTTTATTTAATATCATTGAAAAAAATGTTGAAATTGGTGATCCACTGACTGTAAACTTCCCTCCTGTGTTTATTCTGCCTGGCTCTCTTATTTTCATGGAGGGCTGCTTCACAATCGGCAACAAACCAATTTTTTTTTAAACTTCCATCCCAAGGACTTTGTACATTGACATCTTCAGAGCAGCCCACTTTATGTTGATGCCTATTCGATCTGTATTTCCTTGGCTATCATTATAAGAGATAGGATTGAATTTCACACTAATTACTTTCTATAAATTCATGCAAACACTTTCCATTCTTAGTTTGTTAACTTTAAACAACTAATTTTTCTCCTGTTAATTTCTTAGTTCAGGAGACCACATTTTGTTTTATTTTAGCTCTTACCGTTTAGTGGTCCACATCTCTTTCCCAAAAGCTCTGCAAATCCTGGCAATGAACTTGGCGTCTACTATACTTAAGAATATGGTGAATTTCAATTAATTTCATCCATCAACTAATATCTAGACTGTCTTATGAATTTTTTTTGTGGGGAAAAAAGTGTACTACAAACTCAGGGGTTTGTTTCTGTAGTGAGGTCAACGAGTTACAGACCATTGTCACTTTTCACATGATGCTTGTTATGTGGCCAATGACAGGCTTCAGGTATCCTTTTGTCTATTGAATTGAAATTCTTGAATACAATTTTTTTGAAGTAAGGCAGCTATATAGGAGAATACATATGCCATAGTATATTAGTAAATAACTACATGATTAAGATACTGTCATTTATGTACCATAAAAGACACTTAGTTTGAAAATTTTACCTCATTAAAATTTTCTATTTCCTTCTTTCTTATATGATAGTTTGAAGATTCTTTGATTGTTGCTATCATACTCTTAATATAGCTTGACTTTCCTCCAATATTTTGCATCCTTACTTCCAAAGGATCCTTTTTTAAAACAAATGATATGTGCTCAATGACTTCTTCAATTACAGCCATTCCTTCAAGTGTCCCTGAAATCTTCTTTTAAATTACTTTTTACCAATAAAAGGAGAAAATTCATAGTACAAAAAGTTGGTTGGAGGGGGTGTGATCATTGATAAAATAACACACTAATAAGAAATCTTATTTGTGTGTTATTTTGTCTTTGATTGCTTCCTTCCGACCAATATCTCTTACAATTTGTTCTACAGTCAACAATATCTCCATCATTGATAAAATTCATTCATAAATACCAAAAAATAATTAATTATAGTATGAAATGCAAATGAATATATGATATACATAATAACACATGTGTTATAATTAAATAAATAAGATATAATTATAATTTCAGGAGGATTGGTTCCAATAAAAATTAGAATAAAAGTTATTTTCCATCTTGTTATATCCTACTAAAGTTTTGATGTACATGATAAGTCATTAGGCCTAGCAAGGAATCAGCAAAAAGTACAAGTATAATTTTTCCTCTTGTTATTGCCTATAATCACTGATAGGAAGGGCCGAGGCCTTAGGCCGATTTTTTAGGTCTCCCATTGTGGTCCTCCTTCCAGCATCCAACTGCTTGCCTCTTTTCTCCTCCACCTTGGTTATTTTATCTTTCCATGTTTTCCAAGGTTGGTCTCTTGGCCTCTTTTCATAGGTCTAGCCTCAAGAAATTTCCTGGGTTCTTTCCTCATTCTCATAACATGATTGAACTAAATGAGTATTTTCCTTTCCATCATTTCCAATAGTGGCGTTACCTTGACATCAACCAAGAGATAATATTCTTCTTTCTCATTCATTTATTTTCTTTTACTAATTTTGTAGTATTTACCAGAAAAAAAAATTCGAAATTTGTATATTTTAAATTATTAAATAATTTAAAATAAGACTTTACAACAATATTTCCTCTTGGTAAATTTCTCTTTAAATATTAAGCAATGGAGATTAGATTATCGATCTTAGAATCTAATCTATATATCCTTGATCAGCTTTCTATTTTCCTATTTCGACTTCCTTCCTTTTACTTTCATTAGAGCTCTTGGGTTTCCCTTGTTATTTGTATTCCTGATCAGCATTTTCATAAATAATAAACTTGACCCCTTGACTATCAGAAATATGACAGACATTTTTGAATCATCTTGAAGAGTTTTGCTCTAAACTTTGCTCAGCTGGTCTTATTAGATCAGGATTCATTGTATTTTTATATATTGAAGAGAAGGACGGTTGGGGTGATCAGTAAAAAAAATAATTATATTTATTTTTAGATTTGCTGAAGTTCATGCCTTCATCAGGGCTAAGAAAAACGAGATAACAATAGGTATGAGAAACTATAAGCATTAAATAATAAAGAATTAAAATTAAAAAGGCAAAAGGTATAGATTAAAAATGTAGGTAGAATAAACTTAAAGTAAAATAAAGTAGATAGAGTGAACATCAAAGTAAAATAAAGTAGGTAAATAATAACAATAACAGAGAACTAAGAAATAAACAATAATAACGGCAACAAAGTATGGACTAATGAAATAAACATAATCAAAATAAGGTAACATAAGAAATGAAAAAATGGTAATCTTAGAATAAAATGTAAAACAGAGAAAAGGAATATGAAGTTATTTAAGGAAATAATAGATACAAACAGAAAATGGAGATATTGTAAAATCTATCAAAATATACTGACTACAAATAAGAGAATAAAAAGTTAAAATAATGTAAAAAAGATATATGAGCAAATGTATCAATATATAGAAAACAGAGATGGAGATATGGAAAATAGAATGACGTGAATTTGTACATTTATCTTTTTTACATTATTTTAACTTTTTATTATCTTATACGTAGTCAGTATATTTTGATAGATTTCAAAATATCTCAATTTTCTATTTATATCTATTATTTCCTTATATAACTTCATATTTCTTTTCTCAGTTTTAAATTTTATTTTAAGATTATCATTTTTCATTTCTTATATTACCTTATTTTGATTATGTTTATTTCATCAGTCCGTACTTTGTTGCTGTTATTATTTATTTCTTAGTTCTCTATTACTGTTATTATTCTACATACTTTATTGTACTTTATGTTCACTCTATCTACTTTATTATACTTAAATGTTCACTCTATCTACTTTATTTTACTTTAAGTTTATTCTACCTACATTTTTAATCTATACTTTTCACCTTTTTAATTTTAATTCTTTATTATTTAATGTTTATAGTTTCTTATACCTATTGTTATCTCGTTTTTCTTAGCCCTGATAAAGGTCTGAACTTCGGGCCGAATCATTGGTAAATCTAAAAATAAATATAATTATTTATTTTTACTGTTTTTTTTATTTTGACTGACCATTCCAACCATCCTTCTCTTCAATTATTCCCTACAGTCAACCACCAATCCACAATTATTTTATATATGTATTTTTTTATTCTTAGGAAACTTTTCTTGAAAACAATTAAACATGTCTCCCTTAAGTTTTGTATATGTTCCCAATCATCATAATTTAGACTGTTATTTTTAAATTTTCGTAAAGTATGTTTTGTCCAAATGAATCTGAATATTAATTTCATCCACTTTTTCCTTGAGGAGAGAGAGGATCGCTTTATTTTCATGAAAGGGTTCTGCCCAATTATATTAGGTTGTTATGGACACAGCATATTTATCAATCAATACAATGAGCAATTCTTAAAACTAATATACAAATATACAGTATCATCAATATATGTGATAAGTAACAATTAAAACAAAGATTAACCTAAATTTATCAAATAATTAAATTAATTGTTGAGTGTTACCCGGTGCTCTCATCCAAGAAGAGCTAGGAGTTGGGGTAGAAACTGTGTTTGTCTCTATTTCCCAACCAGAAGAGTCATAACAGTTTACCATTCCTGATTTGAATAACATAACAGCAGGGTCATTTGAACTACATCCTTCATCACTGTAATGCTTAACTTTTAGCCACTCTATATATCCAGTGTCATCAAAACCTGCCTAAGGATTGAAAGGAAAACAATAATTAAGGTTTATTTTGTTATTGTCTTAAAATTATTATTTTCATACTTAATTTTACAGAGTCCCATGTTCTCCAATGAGCTGCTTTTAAAACTTTAAACTTAAATTAACAAATGATTAAGTTATTAAGACAGCTCAATGATCATATCTGTGTTGTTGCAGGTCCATCTCCGACTATGAATCATGGACCTGTGGGTACAATTTTTATGACCACAGAAGTATTTTCTCTGGAGTTAGATTTAGAATAGGTCACTAGTCTTCTAATTATTTTATAGCCACTTGCATAAAGAACAAGACGAATCGGAAATGAATGTTTAGTGATATTATTTTCAGCTCACTGCATAACAGTTTGTATGCTTAGTACCTATAAAAAGGTCCCTGGTTCATTAATGTTCATATTATTGTAGGAGGGCCACATAGTTAATTTATAATAATGTTGAAATATATGAACTCACATACAAATTATTTTAATATTAAAAAAAATTAGAATTTTATTCTGTCTGCATATATGGCTAGACTAGTCATGATCTATTTAGGAAACAAATGAGGATGGAGAAGGAGAAGGAGGGGAGAGGTGAGACGGATCAATGGGGTATTTGTCTTGTAATGGTAGAACAAACTAGTCCAGTTCCCTTTTTACTAGCTCCAGACAGCCACATTCTTGTAACTAGAATGGGAATGTATGATTTATTTAAAAAAAACAAATGTTATAATATGAATGTAACCTTCTGTTTGCTTCTCTTTCTCTTATTATTTAATCCTTATTTATGAAACAATAAAAAAATATTATTAAATATAAAACCTCATATTTTGAGTATGATGCATTTCTCTTTCCAATGGCTTTCATATTTGTTTCAATATCTAATATAACTTTGACTGGGCAATGTAGTTTGTAAGCTGCAAGAGCACAAGCGGTAGCCACCAATGATGCACGAGTTATCTTAGAACCAAATCCTCCTCCTATCCGTTTCACCTCCATGTTAATACTGCAAAGAAATAATGTATTAGACTGCAAAATGTCTATTTACAATAAGTCTTCGAGGCTTTACAGACCTGTTTTCAGGAATGTTGAGCATTTCAGAAACTGCTCCTTGGATGCATGACATCCACTGTGTTGAAGCAAATATATTAATGCCATCCTCAGTTGGGCTACAAACACAACTTTGAGGTTCCATTGTGAAATGATACTGTGGCCCCATCTCAACTTCTCCTTCCACTTGATATTTTGCCCTTTCTGTGAAAAGTTTTCTAAATATTAGATTCCTGAGAATTTATGAGTTACAAATTATTACAAACATGTTATTGTAGAATGTAATAAACAACATTATTGAGTGAACAAGTGGCGATACTAAGCTCAGTTTGGTATTTGGTAAAATATATTTGGCAATTGTTTTAATGAATATATCTTGGCATTCCCTCCATGGATAGAATTATTGGCAACTTCTAATTTTTAAAGCCTCAATAAACAAAGTGTAAAAATCCAATGAACAATACATACATATATTTTTGCCTCATGAATAAAAGGTCAAAATAAAATTAATCTATCCTCAAGAGTGTAGGTGACTTTCATATTAGGAGAGAATAAGACTAAATAAAGGAAAATCTCAGGTAGAAAATTGATTTCAAATTCTCTAAAATTATACCAAGTATTGCGTTGTCTGGAAAACAATGTAAGATTTTGAGTTTTCTTTAAAATACCTCTCTATATAAAAAACTGTTTACGTTTACTGGATTATTCATTTGTATGAATGTCAACACTCATTAATTCTCTTCCAAACAATAATGTTTGTTTACCTCTGTAGCATTTTGCTGCTTAGAAATAATTCAGTCCTTACTAAGATGTCAATGCGTGATTTTCATATAATTTTGTTTTACGAGTTTACACTTGGGGTCTGGGGTGAGAGCAGCATGAATGGGTGCACTGTTCAGAGGTGGTTCAAAAAATGTTGGGAGGGATACTTCAGCCTTGAAGACAAAGAAGGTCATGGAAGGACTTCATATCTTCATGATGATGTTCTGCAGGCTTTGGTGGAAGAAATCCTCAGAAAAACTGTTCGAGAACTTGCAGGGAGACTTAATCTTAGCAAATAAACTGTTGATGATCTCCTCAATGCCATTGGATTGGTAAAAAAGCTTGAAAGTTGGGTTCCACACATATTAAACAACCTTTTTAATTCTTTTTATGGTTGAGACATTGAAAGAGATCTAAACATTTAGACTGTAATATATTAACTAATGATTCCAGAAGATCGGAGTATTTGCTGAGTATATTACACATATAAAACGAAGTACTCATAGCTGCACAAAACAATGGGAATACAGCCTTTTGGTAATTTATAAAAAACTTTCATCATTTCTACAAAGATAATTTTGTATTTTTCTGATCATCATGTCTCACACAGTGCTAGAATTTTAGGAACGTATTTTCCCCTTATAATGGATTCACAAAAACAATTAATTATCTCTTTATAATATATGAAATAGTATTTCTGATCTCTGGGACAGAGTTAAGGTCGTTTACCACAAGATTCATCCGATGGCTGGAACAATGAATGTACGAAGCTTTTTTGTATTTGTCTCATAATTTTGTGTACACCTTCATCTTTTCCCACCATAGTGGAGCAGCCAACATTTGCCTCTCCCACGCATTTTCCTGAGTCAAGGCCTTATTAAGAGATACATTGAGGCCTTATTGAAAACACAAAATAGGCACAACAAAGAATGCTTTTTTTATAACTTGAATAATCATATTAGTTATTATACCGCCACATAATTATAAGTTCTTTCCCTATTCCAGGAGATTTATAAGTTGTATTTCTTGCATCAAAGTAAGTTTTTTCAAATGGAAATCCCCAATTTTATTCTTAATCAAATTAAATCCCCTAAAATATCCTTGTGTTACTGTTTGTCATGTAACCGTTGATTATGCACTCCACTGTGCAAGATAATAGCAGATATCATTGATGATAATCATTTTCTATTATCTATTAATAATGTTTGATTTGCAGACATCACTATACATCATATTCTATTGGATATTTATTTATGGTGGTTTCAACTAGGCTGGCACATTTATTTATAAGGTACTTTATTATTTAATTGGATGTGTGTGAATTTTAAATAAATTAAAAACAGGAAATTACTTTAAATATATATGTATATATATAAAAATCTGATGTCCATTTTCTCAACTTTTTTAATTAAAACTTTTCAATTAATATGAAGTAAGTATTTAATTTATTTAAAAGTAGGAAAGCAACAAAAATAACTAATGTACTAAATTTAGGTACTTATAAGAAGTAATGATCAATCAGCAGAATAAAATTTAAAAAAACAGACTGGAAATGGACTGCAATTCACAGTGCAAATAAATTAAATGAGATTTTAGTTTAGAGGAGAATAAGGTGGGATTAAGTAGACATTTTTTAGGAATAAGAGAAAAGTGATGGCATCACTTCCCAAACAACTTTTAAACATTGAGTAGTGTGTTTTGTGACGATGATAAGGCAAAGGATTTTTGTGGAAACATCGTAGAAAGAAATATCAGGAAGGCCAAAGTCGCTCTGACCACATTTATCCGTTAAATTTGTAAATATTTTCATTAAGGAAGTTATTCGACTGTTCTACATATCATGGGTGATAAATATTCAGGACGCACTTTTTTAAAATTTTTTTATTTTTACCAACGTTTCAACCCAAACATGTGGGTCATCTTCAGGGCGTAGTTTGAGCACTGAGAGTGTTCAAGTACTCTGCAGTACTTGAACACCCTCAGTGCTCAAACCACGCCCTGAAGATGACCCACATGTTTGGGTTGAAACGTTGACAAAAATAAAAAAAGACTGCGTCCTGAAATTTATCAACCATGAGTAAATATTTTCAAATTATGTCTTAATTATATTTACCACCATAATTGAAAAATTTATTTTTATTTTTTTGTTATTCATTTTTACTATATTATGTTTTATTTTCTTTAAAATTATTTACAGGGAAAGGACGATCAATGCCCTCCCTCCCCTGCATCATGCATATGCCCATGTCTAACTATTCAAGAGCAACAGACAAAAAAAAAAAAAGGAAATTTTTATTAACATTATTAAAAAAAATTATTTTAAGAATAAAAATAATGACTTTTCTGTTTAATAAAACAAATGCAAATTTTTTTTAATTTTAGTGGGATATTTCAGTTTGATGAGTTCTACATGTATTTTCCATTGGTCATGTATGGGAGAATGCTACTTTCATTTCATCTTCCAAATTAGGTACTTAATTTTTCCTTTCTATTAGTTATTATATAGGCCAACATTGAAAATCCAAGCTCGCATAGATATGAAGTAACAAATAGCAAAATTTTTAGTGTATTTTTGGAAAGCACTAACATTTATGAATTAAAAAATATTTGTTTTCAAGCCAGCAACTGTTTAATACATACCTAAGTTAATATTCCTGTTTGGCTTATGTTTTGAAAAATGCCTAATTTTTGAAACTTTTCCACTTCTTAAAACGTCCTTAACTGTTAGGCATAGTTCTTCTTGTGATTCAATGTAATCGATATTTATATAATTGGCTGCTCTATTGGCTACATCTTCAGTTTTAGCTACAACTATTCCTACTGGCTGCCCAGCATAAAGAACATTTCCTGAACAAAACAGCTGTAAAAAGAATTTTATTTAAGTTAGTATATATTTGTTGTACCTTAACTTGAAGGTTAAATTAAGGAAGAATGGGGTACAGGAATAGAATGGAAAGGTGAGGAACACCATTAATTTTGTGGCCAAGGAATATAAAGTTATAAAAATTCATATAAAGAATAAACAAATACTTAATCTGTAATAAAGCTGTCATGAGACATATATTATTCTTTCTTTTATTTATTTATTGTTACAAATGACCATCAAGATTTGTCTGCAAATCCTCTTCTGGTCAATATATATTAAAAAAAAATATATGTGTACATTTACAGATTTCTTCAAATTTCCACCTTAACTAAATAATTCACTGTGTATTTTTAAGAAAATATTTCAATCTGCTTGGTCTTTCTCCAGCGCTAATTTATATTTTCTTTCATATTTCCTGCACCTAAACAGTATGTGTCATGGCTCTTCTGGACTGTCTACATAGTTCACAATTGCTATATTTTTCAATTTGCATAAGATTAGTGTATTTATTGGTGCACCCGTAGTTAGTCCCATAGCCTTACAATCTATACTATGTTCACTGTGCATTGTACTACAATCTGTACATTGTCACAGATTCAGAGCAAACCATGGAACAAGACTCACAGTAGGCTGTACCTGATAATAGTCACTCCCTTTGGTTTGACACCCAGTCGTACTGATCTTACCATTCCTTTATTGCTTCTTTCTTTAGCAATCATAAGAGATCCGTCATGTTTCCTTTCTTGACTTGCTTGTTTTCTTCCTTTTGTTCTTTTGCTATTTCTCTTGTCCCTTCAGCTCTGTCAGTATCATCATTTCTAGACAATCCTAGGTGGCTTGATAGCGACTGAAATTTGTAATGGTTGTTAAATGATATGTTATTAATTATTTCAAATGTTAAATGTGATATAATTTTTTTGTTATGGACTGTTTTTAGTAGTCTACACGAGTCTGTGAAAATAATTATGTTAATGCTTGAATTGGTATGTCAACAATAATCAGTGATTTTTAAGTTCGTGAAAAGTTCATCACTGGAAAAGCTTAATTTGGTTGGTATTGAAAACAAAATTATATGTTCTTTAGCTGGATCTATTATAGCTACTGCTATATGATTTGCAGATATCTGTGTATATCTTTACGTAGTCAGAGTATCTATATTGTTGAACTAATTGTTTTAATATTTTAGGGTTCTATGACGATTTAAGACCATAAACCGTAATTAGCGTGAGATTGCTTTCAAATTGTACTATTCTGCTGGGCAACAGTGTGTTTATTTGATCTTTTGCTTTGTATATAGGCTGCATTCCAGTTATTAAATTATTTAAAACTGTGGAATATGTGTTTCTTGACTTTGTTGCTTTTTTTAAGGGGTTTTGTTTATCTGATATGCTTTTTAGAAAATATTTCTTTGTATGCTATCTTCTTCTTAAGGTTAGTAGCATCTCGCCTGCTCCAGCTAACAGCACATTTGTTAGTGTGGTTTTAAAAGTCCCTAAGCATATTTTGATTGATAAATTTTGTATAGTATTCACGTTGTTAATCATAGACAATTTTGTTTTATAATAAATCAGTATATTATAAACTGCAGAAATATTAAACTAGAATAATAAATAAATCAAATCAAATTCCTTTTACCTTTAGATAACATACATAACATATTGAAAGAAAAACAATTTTTTTCCTAAATTTCATAGCAATATAAACATTGTTTGTCATTTTATTCGTTATCAATTCACTCATTTTATAGTCTATTGAGCAGGAAAATGTTTAACCATTTGTGCCTGCTTAGAATAGCTCTCAAATCTAAAGTACAGTCTTTTTCATGCCACCAAACCCACTTTTGAGTCATTTAAAGACTACAAAGTGTTCAGTGAAAATTCAACCCATAAACACTTTTTGCCAATAAGACATAATATTTTTATGGTATCCATACCATTTGAACAAATTTCTATTCATGACACATATTAAATCTGTAAAAGAAGAAAATATTATAAATCGGTATAAAAAAAAGATGTAGCTGAAGTTGAAAAAATGTCTGTTTTTTTGTTTTTTTTTCCTTTACCTCCAACCTCATCATTTCTGGTGTACTGGGAGCTTCTTCAAGAAGTATAACTAAACCTATTCTAACCGCAGTAGGAAGATCAAGATTCATTCCATGGGTCTACCATGAAACACAAAATAACCTGCCCGGCTGGATTGGAAACCAGCACTACTAAGACCGAAAATGTTAAAGCGGGCAAAACTTCAGTCCTTGAACCAAAATATTTTTTGTATAACATTTATAAAGAATGTCCTGTAAGTAGAGGTAAATATTTAAAAGTTTGATAGGACACATCAAGATCTACAAAAAAGTTCAGATAAACAATTGCCCAACGTCCAGGAGAAAAGTAGTAAATTGAAGATTTGTGTTTTTTATGCAAGTCACACTTTTTGTTGAATAGGAAGCGATAACTTAAAAAATATTTGATTTAAGTAATTAAACTTTGCTCATAATAAACTACACAAAATTTACTTTAAACGAAAGAAGAGTTGTCATTATTAAAGTTATTTAAAGAGGACAGCTAAGTTTCATTTAAAAAAAAGTCATAAATTATTTGTGATTTTTTTTTTTTTTATCACCCCTAACTGTACTACACTGGTCCCACTTTTACAAAAACTTCCTCGTTTAATAAGCTGTAAGTATATATTAATTAAGTTAAGGTTTATAATGGAAAAATTGAGATTAACCTCAAGTTGTGTAAAGAAATGATGTGATTTTCTATCCAGACACCTAATAAAAGTACACATGTTCTCATCAAAAATGATGACATTTAACGGCTGCAATACTTTTATTTATTATTTTTCCAAGTTATGGGATTGGTATAATTGTAATAAACATAATTGTTTAAAAACACATTTTATTTATTAAAATAATTTTTTTTAAAAATAATGATTTTAAATGTGAGGTAATTAATTGTGTTTCATTTCGTTGAATTTCTGTCATAGGAATTGATGCGTATTTATAAGTGACAAACTTAATGTTTCTAGTTCTAATGTTTACGTATTCATGAAAACAATTGAAGCAATCAGTAGGTTTCTTTATTTTAAACCTAAATTTTAGTAAGAAACTTTAAGATTGTCACTTATAAATACGCATCAATTCCTATGACAGAAATTCAACAAAATGAAACACAATTAATCATCTTATATGTAAAATCATTATTTTTAAATTTTTTATTTTTATAATAAAACTTTCTAAAACTTATGTTTAAAATATAGGAACCTACTGATAAATGTAGTATAGTTGAAGGGTGATAAAAAAAAATCAAAAATAATTTATGACTTTTTGAAACGGAACTTAGCTGTGTTTGTCCGCTCAATAGTCCTCTTTAAATAGTTTTAAAAATGACAAACTCTGCTTTAGTTTAAAGCAAATTTTGTCTAGTTTACTATTGAACAATCTTTAATTACTTAAATATAATATTTTATAAGTTATCGCTTCCTATTCGACAAAAAAAAAAAAATCTTAAATTTCCAAGTTTTCTGCTGGAAATTGGACCATTGTTTATATGTACTTTTTTGTAGATCTTGATATCTACTATCAGCCTTTTAAATATTTCCCTCTACTTATGGGACATACTGTGTAATGAGATTGAATATTATGCCTAAAAATGAAATATGTATAGGTTTGTAAATAAATGGGAACAGAAATTCACAAGTCATGGTATCGTCGGCACCATGTTTAAATAATGAATAAGTTTCCACATTTGATTCTTTAACTTGGTGCTGATAATATGTATTGGACAAATAATGAATATACACATTGGATAATAATACATGTTACACACACATAAGGTAAACAAAAAATAACACAAAAACCTTACACCACACAGTATTGCTATTACAATATACTCAAATATTCCAACAATATGAATAATTCGATATTATATTTGCAAATATACAGATTATAGTTTTTTAACTAAAATTTGTTTTCTTTTTGCTGTGTTACTATGCAGAGCTGAATGAAACCATTAAATACCATCATGTTTATAAGTAGGTAATAAGCCAAACCCATTTTCTCTCTCCCTCATTTTCTTTCAGTACATAGTTCATGTCCTAAAGAAGCATGGAGCAGTCTTGGGTCTTCTATATTTTTCTCAGTCTTACTTCATTTCTTTTATTTTACCACAAAGCAGCTATTTTCACTTCCACTTTTCAAACCATTCTATCTTGCATTTATATCTTTGTTTTTAAATGGAAAATTAAATCAATTATTGTTTACAAATCTGAAAATATTCCAAATCCTGATATTCTATTGAATAATCATACTTATGTATCTGAAGTAAATACAGTAACATTTCATTAATTTGTAAATCAGTAATAAATTAGTAATTATGACAGAATGTTAATTGTTAATCATAAGCACAAGCCATTTCTCCTATCCTATCAATACTAATAGATTAATATTTATTTATTTTGTAAACTTCAGATGCTTACAAAATAAAGATTCTTTAATAGTTCTTCAATACCCAAAAGGCAAATTATATTAACTTCAAGATGAACTATTTTTTAAACAAATTAATGTTTAAAATTAGAAGTGAAATTTATTGAATACACTTCAAAATTTTAAAAAGAGGGACTAAGAAACTCATATTTTGAAAGAACTACTCAAGAAGCATATATTGAATTGTTAATAAAACTAAATTACCACAATTTATATATTTTTTTTATTTTCCCCCAAAACATTTGTTACTGATTAGTAGTGTTATCATTTGCCAGATATAGTAGATTCCGATTGTTAATATACTATTCAATAAATTAAAATGGATAAGGTTATAGATGTAACAACATCTATGCTGTGTTAAGTTTTTTATGAATTCTAGAAATACTTATTTTATTGTTATACCTCTTCTTCAACAGGCACTGCCTTAAAGCTTATTTTTTTATTATTAGAGGTACTTGTAAAACCAACTTGGTCTGGTGCCTGTAACATAACATTAGGCAGAATAGTATGAGCAAAAGCAACGTATTTAAGATTTTTGAAATAAAATTTAGTTTTACACAATCTAAAAACGATAGTTGCTTTTGAATATAAAATTACAAATTATAATTAAGACAGAGATGATGGGCTATCTATCTATTATGGGTGATGAACCTAATCTATCCATAGTGATGAAATTTATTTGAAGTCTATCCTCATTAAACATTCCTCTGGCACAGTTATCATAATCAGTAATTACAAACTAAATATCTCAATAACCTAAAATAGGTTGGCTTATGTGACCAAAATACTGATTATTCCTTAACTATTATTGGCTTGGACAAAATCAGATTTTGAACATTTTTTATATTGATATTTAAAAGTAGACGATCCTAAAACTTGGCATAGGGATGTAACTATCCCATCGCTAAATCTTTGTACCGCTGGCCCTCCAGATTGGGAGAACACTTAAGTACCTATTATTCTAGGATAGCCGGGCCATCATGTTGCATGACCAAGCCATGTCATCAAGGGCAACCAGTCTCTTATTTACTTCCTTTCCTCCTGATGGCTTTAATATTATGAGATATTATTATTAAAAAAATTTAGACCCATAATCCCTTTCCTCCTGTTTATAGCTGAAACAGATTACGACCAAAGTACGACCAGATACGACAGCCTTCAAACAAAGAGTAATGGTGGCCAGTGCTCGTTTGTCCATGATTCTTTCCTTCAAATGTTAAAATGGACAAACTATTATTTTTTTTATCTTTCATGAATTTTACTTTAATAAACATGTTTTTGGTTGGGAATAACATGTCCTTTGTTATTAATACTAAAACTAATTATGGGTTGAATCAGAGCATTTTCCTAGATTCTATTTAGTTTAATTAGCATTCTATTTCCTTCGCCTTCATGGTTTCAAATTAATCATGATCTGGTGTCTTAGACTGATCTCTGTAATGGGATTTTTAGCCATTATCATTAGTATCCTAATTTGAAATAAATTGTGTAAAAATTAATGTCAAATTTTAATCTCGAAAATGTACAAAATGGGAGAATGACCCTCATTTGATTTAAAATGGGATAAACAGTAATCAAAGTTCTCTGAAGGGTGCCTGAAAACTGGGAGTTTTACTCTATTGTCAAATAGCAATAATGGAAACTTGCAAAAAGTCACCATTTTTCTAAGTTTCATTGAATTTTGGTATTTAAAAATAATGAAATAAAAAATGAATAAAATAAAAATAAATAAACTTGAATTATATTTTAAGAAAGGGCAATTATTGGTCCCACTTTAAAAAAAAAAAAAAAAAAAAAGAGAGAAAAGAAGAAGCTTAAATTAATAGGATTTATAATGTTACCTCTTCTCCTGAAGTTATTGTTACAGCTGTTGGTGGACAAAAAATATTTTTGCCAGGAATATCATTTGCTGAAAAGAAAGCCACAACACCATTCATTGCCTGAAAAAAAAGGAATTTTGGTTTTTATATAATATTTAAGACCATAGAAGTAAAACAGGCATTGAACAATTGCAACGATGAACAATCTGCTCATTTTTGTTTCAATCTGTTGGAAAATATTATATGGGGACATTTACTTATCTTTATTTTATAACCCAATTTAACTTAAAACTCAAACATCTCCATAACTGGTATCTAGCCTTTCAGTACAAAAATATTTGAAAGAAAAATACTGCATTTTTGGCAATTTTACGTTCAATAGAACGCAAAATCCAAAAATTTCATCTGGCCAATGCTAATGCTGTAGGTAAATTGCCACCTTTTGCATAGATCAATTTTTAAACTATGATCATCACGTTATCAGTATTTATATTATTGTAAACAAAAATAAATCCACCTACTCCAGTGAAAATTATAGTTTCTATAATTACCAGAGCAGGAGATGGATCAATCCTTTTAATGGTTGCATTGGCTCGTGCAGCAAGAACAAGTGCACCATACATTAGACCAGAAAGCTCAGGTATATCATTTACATAAACTGCTTCACCTGCCATAAATAATGCATAGTACATTTGTATTATTATTTACCAGTATGAAAATGAAAAATATTTTTATTATAGGAGAACCTATTCTTAAGAAGTACTATGTAATTTAGTAGAACAAATAAACATTTTTTTTACTTATAATAAATAAATTACTTATAAAATAACAACAGTTTACCATATAATTATGTAATTATAGAACAAAGAAAAATAATATGAAAAAATAAAAATAAATGAGTTATCAAAAAAAAAAAATTCAAAAATATAGGATCTAGGGAAAGAACTGAAGTAATTTTACAAGTTTAAAAAAGTAAAGGCCATTATTTATAAATGACTAGAATCCAGAGATGAATGTGGACATCTTTTAGGAATTTGGTCTTCCTCTGACCTATGATCCTCACAAAAAAATGTATAAATATTAAAAATTAATTTTTTACTGGAAGTTGGGTAGCTGAGCGGAATAGGTAATGATATTATCAACTCCTTGGCCTAGGTGTGGCAGATAATTATTTATTATGTTATTTTAGCCTAGGATCAACCCAGGGATTGGAATATTCCAGGGGTACACTCAGCTTTAATAAACTGAGTGTTCTCAGTTGGAGGAAAACTGGCAGTTGATTGCTGTCTTGGTCAGATCACCTCCATATACAACTATTGTTTAAGAAACAAAATGTCATTACCAGTACTGAATTAAAGACCCTTTATGGGTTGTTAGATACAGGTTTAGGTTAATTTTTTTATGCTAATTCTTGACCTTGATCATGATATGTGCTATTTCTGTTGAGTGCTGACACAAACAGAAATCTCTGAATGATTTTAAAAGTTATATAAATAAGCAATCGAAATAATATACTACATTAGTAAGAATTATATTTATTAGAAAAATATTCCTAAAAAAGTGTAGAACAAATTGATTTGTTGATGTATGAACATAACTGTACATGTATGTACATAAATTGTTTGAGTTAGAAATCTAAAATACAAAGAGATAGATGTTTGAATGAATCAAGATTGGTTAATCGATTTTAATTATTTTAGGATCAGATACAATTCTTTTCAGATAGAACAGGACAAGAAATATCCATCCAGTGGTTTAAAATAAGGTAAAGTTCAAATAGCCATTATTGCACGTGATCAAATCCTCAACTTTACAGAGAATTGTAATTGTTTTCACTGGATATGTTATACATTTTAAAGATATGTTTCTTCAGAGGATGAATAGAATCCCTTCAATGGAAACCCTAGAAAAGGCATATGGAAGCTATCTACTGCATGGTCTCAAGATAATTCTGGGAGTCCTAAGAAAGAATACCCAACAAATATACCGAAGGAATTATATGGCTGCTCCATGGAAGAATGGAGATCAACTTTAATACAGTAACTATTAGTCCTGCTTTCATGTGCATTACAGGCCTTTTGAACATCTCACAAATCAAGAGATTTGTTTTTTATGCTGAGAAAGTATACAAAAATCAGGCCTATACCTGATAATGCCGTTCCAGCTTCTTCGGCATTAGTGAAAATGGTCTCAGAAAGAAGTTCATGACCTTATTCTCATCATCTGGAAAGAAGAAAGAATGGCCAATGAATGAACTAAAGCTGAAAGAGAATCAGGTAAATCTTAGCTGAGTTCATAAGAGTCACAGCCACTGCAAACCAAATATTTACTCTAATAATGATATTAGAGAAGAGTAAAGAATATAAAATCACTATTTACCATCTCTTCTTAGATTTTAAGTGTGCTTACAACGGTATAATGCGACCATAAATCTAACAAACCCTGGGAGATATCAATGTTTCTAAAAAGCTCATATGACTAGGACCACATTTAGTTCAGTTTGTCGTAAGCATTAGTTACAATATGTCAGAGCCCTTTGACACAAACTGTGCCATAAGGCAAGGTCATGTGCTTGTCTGTCTCATCTTCAATTTTGTGGGTTCTAGGTTGAAACATGCTTTAATTCCTGGAGAACCATGCAAAAAAGTATTGTTGTCGATGAGGAAAAAATGAAATATATGAGAGTTGAAGGATGTGTAGCAGAAATTGGAACCTTTGAAAAACGTCCAAAAAATGAGCAGCTTTACTTTGAAATTGAAACTCACAAAAAAGTATCTACCAAGAGATTAGCAGGAGGGTTGTGGCAGCCACACTATTATGGCCTCACAAAGCATTTTAGGAGTAAATTTTGATTTAATGGAACTAAGATAAATCACATGGTAAATAAAGTTTGTAGGTTTTAATGAATTAATTCAGAAAATAACAAATCAACAAAAAAAAGTGATGTAGAAAAGAGCTGGCACGTATTTAGAAGATTAAAAATAATTTGTAGTCATTTGAAATGATAGATTTATAAACAATATAAGAAATATGGTAAATAGAGAGTAGCTATTTGAAGTGATTAAATTTTTGTTGATAAAATGAGGAATGAGTTTTAAGGAAAAGAGTTTTTAATAGGTTTATATAGGCAACAGCTATTTTCATATATTTTCCTTCTCTACAAAATATCTAATTGTTATATATCATTTTTTTGAAACATTAAATTTGTTACCTGAACATTGTAAAACTGCCTCAAGCTTGTTAATTGGTTTCGTCAATGGCCAATTACGAGGTTTTGTTTCATATGACTGCATAGCTTGCGATAATGGGCGCTCCAAATTGGCACCACCACTTTGATAGAATAAGTTTATTCCATCTGGTTTTAATTGAAGAATGAACTATAATTAAATGAAAATTGATAATAAGATAAACTTATAAATGAATATGTTTATATAAACCAATTTTAAATATAAATGAGTATATTTATTTTAACCAATTTTAAATATAAATTAATATATTTATTTTAACCAATTTTAAATATAAATTAATACATTTATTATAACTAATCTTAAATATAAATTAATATTTTTATTTTAACTAATTTTAAATATAAATGAATATATTTTTTATTTATTTTAATTTTTTTTTCCAGTCTGTTCTTACAAGTATGTTACAACTTGTAGGCCTCCCCTAATTAAGGGAATATGATCTAATTACCTGCGGGAACCAGCCGTGGTGGGAAATAGGGCCAGGATTCGATCCTATGATCCTTACATTACTTATATAGTGTGCTAACCACTCTGCTATACTGGCCCCATATTTATTTTAATCAATTGTAAATATAAATGAATATATTTATTTTAACCAAGAAAATTTATAATTTACTCATAGATTAATATAATAGAGCAAATAGCTCAAAAAGAAACATAAAGTAATTACAACATAAATGAAAAATGTTTAAAACATAAAGCCTGTATGTTAGAGAGTCTAGACTTTATAGTTTAAATTTTTTTTTCAATTTATACCTTATTTAGTTATATATTCAATTATCTTATACGGCAAGAATGAAACATGAATTTTTATAAATATTTGTGATTAAATAAAATTGAAAAACTTAAAAAAAAAAAAAAATTGAATCGTTATTTATTCTTCTGTAACATTTATTTAAGTCAATAAATAATGGAATGTGGTCTAGCTAGTTTGCAAACTTTAATCATAGTTGAAAGGAGTAGTTTTAACATACATAGGACAGGACCAGGAGCCACTGTAGGTCATTTAATTGTTAAAATATAGCTAAAATGAAATTAATATTGAACCATTGTTCCTCGCTATTAGATAGATTAAGCCTCTAACTTTGATTTTAAGCTGTTTTTACCTTCAGGTACTGGATTCTATTCAAACTTAATTAATGTCTAAGGAAGACAAATTATTCCTACAAATTATATAATCCTGTCATTCAAGCCACTAGTGGATCCAGGATTTAATTTGAGGGGGAGGGAGGGGGCTTCAGGCTGAAAGTATTTATATATATATAACAATAGTTATTTTGGAAAAAAAAAAGAAACTAACTAACTTTTGTGAAATGGTGTTTAAGTGATTCTTGAGGTCCTATTAAGTGTAAGTACACGAACAATAATACTTTTAGAGATAATTTTTTCATAAGACATGGGTATATTTTATCATTTTAGAGGAGAAGGGCTTCAGCCCAAAAGCCCTCATTATTCAAATAAATTTCAATTTATTTTTTAAATTATGATATTATCTATAAATTTTCTTTAACCAAGTATTAATTATCTACAACATTTAAAATTAAATTTATTTCTGATAATGGTGTTAGTAATAAAAATTACTTTATAAAATAGATTAAGAGCTAATTGCTTTTTGAAATCTGCTGAAGCAACAGTAGTTTGATTAGGTTCCAACTCCTCTGATAAAATTGATACACCTGATTTGAATGCTTTGAATATATTCTTCCCGACAAAATAGTTTTCAGTCTTTGTGGCATGGACCTGAAATAGAGTTTTCATGAACTGCTAAATATTTCAAAATTAGAGTTAATTTCTGTTTTATTAATGCAATGTGAATATTAAATAATAATAAAGATATGATACTAAATGACAGTGGTAATAGAAGAAAAATATAGTTTTAAAAAAAAAACCCTAATATTTTGTAGTATATGCAGGGTGTCCCGTAAGTAGGAAGAAATTTTTATAGATTTGATAGCATACCTCAAGAGCTACAAAAAAGTTCATATAAACAATGGACCAATTTTCAACAGAAAAGTAGCAAATCCAAGTTTTGTGTTTTTTTAAGTGAGTCATGTTTTTTATTGAATCAAAAGCAATAACTAAAGAAATATTTAGTTTAAGTAATTAATAATTGTTTCATTGTAAACAAGATAAAATGTACTTTAAATGAAAATAGAGTTTATCATTGTTAAAACCATTTATAGAGGACTTTTGAGCAACTAAATTAAGCTAAGTCCTGTTTTAGAAAAAACATAAATTAATAGTAATTTATTTTTATCTTCATCCAACTATACTACAGTTTCTACACTTCTACAAAAACTTCTTCTTTAATAAGCTTCAAGTTCGTATTAATTAAGTTGAGGTTTATTTAGGAAATAATTGAGATTCAGCTCAAGTTTTGTAAATTTATAAATGACAAACTAAATGTTCCTGATCCCAATTTTAACGTTTTAATTAAAATAATTGAGGCAATCAGCAGGTATTGTTTTATTTTAAACACAAATTTTAGGACTAGAATCTTGTATTTTGAGATCTGCTACCACTCCTATAAAAATTTCCCTCTACTTATACAGGACATCCGTATATGTTTAAGGAGAAGGCAAGTAATTTATTAGGAATTTTTGAGACTGGAAGAGTAACTTCACCTCTTCACAAAAGTAAATTCACCAAATAAATTTTTAAAAAATATATAAAGTAGAGAAGTAACTAACATATAAAAGATATATTTTGATAAATTAAAGTTCATTATTTAAAATATACTTGAGAGAAATTTAATTTTAGTGGTTTTCAATATTAAAATTAATTTTTCATACAATTTCATCAATTAAGATGAAGTGTTCCAAATCTTTGTACATTTAAGACTTGAAATATTTCAAAATTAAAGATTCATTTCTTATTATTATGTGGAAAAAACTGATGTCTAGACTTTTCCTTATGCTCTTTTCATAATAATTATGATTAATATATACTATAAATATGATTGTACTTACAAAATTTGAATTGATATTTCCATAAACGATGCTTGGTTTCTTTTTTACACAAAAGTTTTCATCGAATTGAAAGAAGAACCCAGCATTTACCAGAGCAAATGAATTTTGAGACTTAGGCATGATCTGAAACGCAGTTATAAATCATTTTTACACTTGATTAGATAGAAAATTATTGGGCTAATGCCATCTTATAGCCCTGGAGCCAGTAATTCGAGGATAGAAACAGGAAATCCATTGCAAAAATGTGAGAAAAGTTTTTACTTTTTAAACTTGTATATATGGGTTTAGATATATAAAAAACAAAATTGCTAATCCGGACCACCAAGGGAAAAGTATTGATAGTCAAAAAAGTCAGACTTTTTCGATATTTTTCACATATAACTCCTAAAGGAGGCATTAAAGCGAAAAATGTACTCTTTAATAAATTACAGAATGTTAAATTGTGTGTCCAACAAGTACAAAAACTTTATGATTTGATAACATGGTAAAGTATAAAACCACAGTCAACCATTGCTGATTTTTACCAAATTTGTCAAAAACTGAGACAAATGACTATAAATGGCCTTTTAACCTGGAAATGAGTTCCTTAAGAGGAAAAATCCATAGAGTCAAAGTTGTAGAGCATCAAATTTTGTGTCCGGTGAGTACCAACTAATTTAATGTAAGTCACTTACATCGAACAAAATAGGTAATCTCCCGATGGTTAGAAATTGGAAATGAAGGTAAACGTGATTTTAAATATTTTAAAAGTATGGGCTTCTATTTTACTGAGTTATTTTTGTTTAGAATCTGTTACATGCAATATAAGCCTGTTTTCCACCTCTCAGCAGCGAAGGATTTTGATAAACGACGTGTCAAAAGATACCAAATTTTAGAAAGGAATAATGAATCCTGATTCGAGATATATAATTGGTCTACAACAAAAATGTCAGTACTCAGTGGATGCAAAATGTGAAGCTTTGCAACTTTGTTTCTATGGGTTTTTCCTCTTAGAGAACTCATTTCCAGTTTACAGGGCCATTTATAATAATTTGTCTCAGTTTTTGACAAATTTGGTAAAAATCAGCATTGATTGACTGTGTTTTTATACCTTACCATGTAATCAAATCATAAAGTTTATGTTCTTGTTCGACACGAAATTTAACATTTTTTTAATTCATTAAAGAGTACATTTTTCGCTTTGATGCCTTGTTTAGGAGTTATAGATAAAAAAACAAAAAAATCTGACTTTTTTGACTGTAAAAACTTTTCCCTCGGTGGCCTGCATCAGCAATTTTGTTTTTTACATGTCTAAACCCATATATACAAATTAAAAAAATAAAAACTTTTCTCACATTTTTTGGAATGGATTTCCCGTTCCGATCCTCAAATTACTGGCCTAATATTCTTTCAATCAGCCATTTTTTAAAGCAGTGGCTCTGGAATGGCAGACAAGGTCCTTTTTACTGAGAATAACATACACCTTCGAAATTTACAATCAAACCTTGCCTGCGATGAGGTCGATTTTTGGGTCCTGGCTCCAGGGCTATTAGCCTTTACCATCAAAGTAATCAAGAATAATATCTAAATCCAAATGTACTTACAAAAGCATAACACTTAAGTCAAAAGCTCAAAAAGAGATAACAATATTTTAAAAGATTCTATTTCCCAAAAGAATATTTTAACTTTTTTTGCATGCTTATGCAAGGATTCATTAATACAAAAAACAAGGATCAGAGGTGAAACAATTTATTACACTTAAAGTAACAATATTAAGCACAACATATTACCACAATGTGCTATCTGCCAACACAAACTGTCCTTTTGCCAAACCAAAGATGCCATATTGTAATTAACTTGCCAAACAAAAAAATAAAATCACTATTAATCATAAGATCTTTTTTCAAATTCCAAAGCCTGCCCATATCAAATAATACTCTAAAATGTTTCCTCTCCTTCATCTCTCACTCTGACCCTTTTCTTTACTCTATTTATATTAGCGACTTTCCTGACTCCAGGTTTCAGACTACCATAACTGTCCTTAAACAACTCCTAAGATTCTGTGGTTCTATTACTCAAATGAACAGACAGCTCCTTACAACACCCCTTGTTTCCTCCCACAACGACTATGGCTATTTGATGTATGTAGGGCTGTCAGCAATGATAAGAATAAAGAGACATTTGCGAATTGCTTCATCCGGCGTTCTCATGTTTCTTGCTGGTACACTGAATTGAAATGGCTCTATCCTACTTTCAGATGGCAATTCTTTCTTGGTATTTCCCTTCTCAAAGTCCTCAAAACCAAATCCTCCTACATCGAAGAGTTCTTTTCACAACATTCTTCTATCCACTCCCTTAATACCAGATCTCAACCTATTGATTTATATATTTCCTCACATAAAATCATTTCCTTCAGCAAATCCTTTGTCATTTGTAATAACTCCTTTTGGAAGTTCTTACCTATCTCCATACATCAATCCTTAGCAGAAGTGTTTGCTATACTTTCTGCAGCCATCTCTTTAGAACTTACCAATTGTGAGAATGCTAGCATCACTATCTATTCGGATAGTCAGTCGGCACTACAAGCACTGGAGTCTCCCAAAGTGACCTCCACACTAGTGCAGGAGTGTAAACAGGCGATGGAGACACTGGCCTGCTCCAAGAGGGTGGAACTAGTGTGGGTCCCTGGTCACAAGGGAATTAAAGGCAATGAAGAAGCTGATGTCCTTGCAAGGAAAGAAGCGGAATTTCCTATTGTAAGTCCGGAACCTGCTATAGGAATATCCAGAAAGCATCAGCGGAAAGAAGTCCTTGTTGATTGGATCTGGAAAAAAGCAGGTAAAGAATGGAGGGAATGCACGGGACTTAGGCAAGTGAAACAATTTATTAGAAGCACCTCTCCCTCCAAAACAAAATGGCTGCTAGGCCTAACTAGGAAAGAAATCTGACTAATCATTGGAGTACTAACAGGCCACTGCAGACTTAAAAGACATTTAAGATCTGTGGGATAGTGGATGATGAACTCTTTAATCTCTGCAGAAGTGCATCTGAAACTGCCCTTCACTTCACTGTGTCACTCAGATACAGACTTCTGGGACCAGATAGAATCCAAGTATGCAGAGCTACCTCCATAAAATGACCCAACCTTTTGAACTTCATTAGAAGAACAAAAAGGTTTGAGACAGAGTAGATGTACAATAGACAACTACTGGTAGTATCATCTTTGGGATTGGCAAAAAGGACCAATAGGCCCACTTGCTGGACTAAGTCCTCCGACCAGTAGGTCAATCCTTGTTAAAAATTCTTTCAAATAACTCATATTTCACTACCTACTTCAAATTCAAACTTCTGCTACCATGTGAAAATTATTATTGTAGTTTCTGTAATTTTAATTGATTATTTACAATTTAAAAAAAAAAAATGAAGATTTTTTCTTCATGCCACATTAATGTTCCTAATTTCTGAACTCTATAATTTTCTTAGGAGTCTTAGGTTTCATATAAATAATAATAATTGCAGGTAGCCCACAACACTCTCCCTTAGGATGCAAACAATGTATTTTATAATTGCAAGGAACATTGTGATGAATTTAATACAATTAAAAGGAAAAAAAAAAACACATGAAAAATTGTATAGGCGATAAACTAAGATAAAGAATTCTTCTTTAGAAATCTCTCTTCCACCAAAAATGAAAACTTTATTTCACAAACTAAAACACATATGAACAGAAAGATATTGTGGTATATTTTCTATAGAAAATACAGAAAACTACCAAAAAAAATTAACAAAATATTGAAGATTAGCAGAAATATATGAAAACTAAACTGGCAGATAATAACACTGACTCAAGAATTCATAATACAAGTAAGCTTTACAAACCTAATAAAAACCTCAGATCCATAATAAATAATATCTATGGACTAACAAACAGACTATCGGAATTTATTAGACAATCTTTGGATATGCTGAAGAAATTGGAATAATAATAATAATAATAATAACCCGTGAGGAGTTGCTAGTCTCCCATCGGGCGCCTCCCCAGGTGGCGGATAGGGGAAATCTCACCAGATATGGTGGGTACCAGGGAAATAAAATACCCGGGGTGGACCAAAACTAGTAAAATCCAGGTGCGACGGTTCCCATATTGGGCAGCAACCTGGTCAGCGTCTGTTCTCCATGTCAGGAGCGGCTGTTTAAATCACCTGGCAGGAAGGTATAAAATGCACCTACCCATTAAAAATGGAGCTACGAAATAGAAGATTAGCCTCGGACGAGCCCGATATTGAGGCTGCATCGGGCGGGAACAGTGGACAGCTTCCTTCAGGGACTAGTGGAGCGAGCGGCACTACCTTGTCGTCACGGACCGCAAGGCTGCAACGTTTACCGGCCAACATTTCGAGTTCGAGCTTGGAGGAGAGACATTCTCCACCCGCGCGAGTTCGGCAACAGAGACCAAGAGGTGCAAAGAGGATGAAATGGACGCCAGAAATGAATATGGCTGTCATCCGAGCATACTACTTGGCAACAAAACTTGAAACAGAGAAAACAGGATATCTGAACCGTATACAGGGATACTGGCGTGAGTCCTTCCCAGATATTAATATAAGCACGCAGAGACTGAGTGATCAGGTAAGAGTAATTCTTACGAGAAATTTTCTTACTTCTAATGACCTCCAACAACTTAAAAATGAAGTTCGTATGTTAATAGCCACTGAAAATGATGTCGAGCTCTCTGATGAGGCGCTAAATACAAGAATAGATTCAGACGCTGGTGTAATCAATGCCTCAGTCGGTAATAAAGATTCAGCGGAACAATTGGAGTATGCGGATATAGAAAATAGATTGAGTCAATCACTTTTGACCGAGCATATTCTACTTGAGGGAATACCGCTTCAGGAGTGACCATCGTTGCCACGAGTACCGTATAATAAGGCCACAATTAAAATAACCAATATAATGAATAATGTTCTTAAGGATAATATAGCCCTAATTAATGGCCTTCAAGATATCCCTCATTGGCTATATATTGCTGCCAAGATAGTTACATTAGAACTGGGCATAAAAATGGAAGATAAAAGTAAAAATAAACTTCCAACTGGATATAGTGGAATACCACAGTGGAAGAGAAGACTTCAAAGGAAAATTGATACCTTACGTGGAAAAATCTTAAACTATATTCGTAACCCTCAAGCTGCAAGACCTAAGACAAAAAGGAAGATAGATGAGATTATAGTACAGAATTTGGGAACCGTAATGGAATGTGAGTTAATTGATAGTCTGACTCGATATCTAGATATTCTGAAACAAAAGCTGGCAGTTTACGCCAGCAGATTGCGCAGATATAGTGAGGCAGCTTTACGCAGGAAACAAAATCAGCTGTTCAAGCAAAATGAACGTCAGTTTTATAGAAACCTTGTAAAAGAAGAAAAAATATCGATCAAATACCCTGATGACATTGAAATCCATTGGAGAAATTTATGGGAAAAATCGGGGAATCACCTCGAGAGTTCTTGGATACAAGCAGAACTGCAAAGTCTTCAAAATGTCAATGGAATGATGGAAGTGACCATAACTGTGGAAGATGTTTCGGAAGCGGTCAGAAACATGAAAAATTGGAGGGCACCAGGACCTGACGGAATCCAAAATTACTGGATTAAAAGATTTCATTGCTTCCATGAATTGCTGGCCAAAGGTTACCAGGAAATACTTGAAGACAAACAGAGCCCCCCTGATGGTTTCTCTGATGGCATCACGTATATGCTTCCGAAAAAGAATGACTTAAGCATGCGTCCTGAAGATTTCTGGCCGATAACGTGTTTAAATGGTCTGTATAAAATTCTAACTTCCATCTTGGCAACTAAGATATATGAGCACCTCGAAAGTGAGAATATGATACCCATAGAACAGCTAGGGTGCAAAAAAGGTGCTAGGGGTTGTAAAGAACTCCTAGTAATAGATTCGTTTATTGCAGCACAAGTTGCGAAAAAACAGCGAAACCTCTCTATGGCATGGATCGATTATAAAAAGGCCTTTGACTCGGTTCCCCACAGCTGGTTACTTAAAGTACTAGATATATACAAGGTTGAATCTAAAGTAAGCAGGCTCCTTTCAAACTTAATGACAGGTTGGAAAACTACGCTGAAAGTTGGAACTATCTGCACAGGGAATCAAATTAAAATATTGAGAGGAATATACCAAGGAGATTGTCTAAGCCCCTTATGGTTCTGTATGGCTTTGTTCCCACTAAGCAGGATTCTGCGAAAGAACAAGATGGGATACAAATTAATCATCAACGACGAAGCTACCACACTCAGCCACAGCTGGTACATGGATGACCTTAAACTATATGCGAAAAACAAAGACCAATTACAAAGCATGGTTGAAGCCGTTTCATCTTTTAGTAGTGATATAGGCATGTCACTCGGTCTGGATAAATGTGTGGTGCTCCATGTAACCAAAGGAAAAGTGGTTAGTATGCAGAATATTCTAATCAATGAAAAAGAGTACATCAGGGAGCTTGAAGACAATAGGTTGTATAAATATCTGGGAATGCAGCAACATCTTAAAATTGCAAGAAAAGATATGCAACAAGACCTTCTGACAATGTTCAAAATTAGATTGCGGAAAGTGCTCAAAACCCAGCTAACCGGGAAACAAAAAATCAAGGCCATTAACACCTGGGCAATACCTGCTCTCGGTTATAGTTTCGGCATATTGCACTGGTCGAACACCAGCCTACAGGAGATCGACCGCCTTGTGCGAACAACTCTCACACAAGAACGGGCCCACCATCCAATATCCTCCAAAGCTCGTCTGTATTTGCCTAGGAAAGAAGGAGGACGTGGTTTGCTAAATATCGAAGAAGCTTGCCGCAAGCAGGAAGCAGCCCTACGCCGATACTTTCTTACACAAACAACTGAGGTTTACCTCGCAATCTCAAGATTGGATTATGGTCTAACCGCACTTAACCTGAGCAATTGTGAGGTATCTACAATCGTGTCAGAAAACGAACGCTTGACAGAATGGAAAAATAAATCTCTGCATGGAAGATTCTACAGCAAATTAAATTATAGCTCGATTGACAAGGAAATATCCATTGAATGGCTGAAAGCTGGAAAGATATTCTCCGAGACAGAAGGATTTCTTCTCGCCATCCAAGACCAAGTTATTGCTACTAGATCATATAGAAGGCATGTTCTTAAAGACGCAACAACTACGGATAAATGTCGATTATGCTCAGCGACGCTGGAATCAATCCAACATGTCACAGGTGGGTGTGGAGTGTTGGCTGGCACCGAGTATCTCCAGAGGCATAACAATGTGGCTAGAATTTTTCATCAGGCTCTGGCAGTGAAGTTCAACTTGTTAGATGACAAAACTCCATATTATAAGTACCACCCAAATAAACTCCTCCAAAAAGGTAGTCTCAAGCTCTACTGGGATGAATCGATAATAACTGACCATACTGTGCGTCACAATAAACCAGACATCCTTCTGATAGACATGAGAGAGAAAAGAGCAGAGCTTATTGATGTCGGGATCCCCAATGATAATAATATAAGCTCCACTGTTGGAGAAAAACTGAGAAAATACCAGGAACTGGCAATCGAACTGAAGGAATTATATCATTTGGGGAACGTCACCACCACTCCAATTATAATATCTTCCAATGGATTGATACCAAAGACAACAGTAGCAGGCACGATGGGATTAAAATTACCTCTTGAAGTGCTGAAAGAGGCTCAACACTCAGTTCTCTTGGATACGGCACGTATTGTTCGAAAGTTTTTAAATATCTAAAAAGTAATAGATATTAATCTGAAGTGGCTGGACTTCTGGTCTCCCACCTCAGAAACTTACCCCGCAGAGCGAGAATAAAGAATGGAAATAATAATAATAAATAAAAAAAATGGAAAATGCGATCTTCTAAGTTTGGAATAAGTAAATTTATTTAAAAACATACCTAGTGGAGAAAGTTTAAAAATAAGATGGAAAAATATGATAACACAAAAATTTAAAATTTGTGGAGGGGATAAAGTATGTGCAAACCAAAATTCAGCTATAATGACAATTTCTATAAGCAAATCCAAGGTTTTGCTACCAGAAGAAAGTTATCCGTTTATATTATAGAAATATACTTGAATATAATAATAATGGAAAACCAGTTAAACAAGATGTAATAAAAACCAATAATGATGGCCAAATATATTGATGACATGTTAATAATAACTGAAAACAGCTTCATATTAATTATTTGAAAATATAAATAGTGTACATAACAGTTTGAAATACAATGAACAATAGAAGTACCTAATAATAATAAGTTAAGATATTTGGATATGAAAATTATAAAAAAGTTAAAAATAAAATAAAATAGACCATAAATCTGAGATAATAATAAATAAGAAACTGATTTATAAAACCACAAACCTTACAGGTAAATAACACATAAAGAAAGTTAAGAACAAGATTTACAAACAAATTAGTTAATAACCTTTATTCAAAAAGATTAATAAATAGATTATTGTATGCAATGATAGAATGAAAATATAATTGCAGATAATCCTCTACAGAACATATCTCGAATTTTTAGATGAGAAATTTAACTGAATTTGATTTTGTTACAGGTGGAAGTTACATCAAAGATTTCAGTACTTCTCATCCTCAAAACTGATCTATCAAAGAAAAATATATATATTTAAAATAGATATAACAATCATCAACATCAGCCAAGTAACATTATATTGACTCTTAATGCTACTTAGTGAATCAGGGCCTTCCTTCTCTTGTCGTTGTCATTATCTCTCTACTTGTGTAACCGTAATCTAATTTCATATACCAAGCAAATTTCTCTCATCACTGGTGACACTGTCTTTTCACCACAATTTTGGCCTTCCAATGGTTCTCATTTCATAAAGCCGATTTGACATTTTTTTTTTTTAGAATTTCATGTTTAGCCCATCTAAGCCTTCCTTTATGGATGATTCTCATTTAACTTCTGGCTCATAAGTCAGCCCATCAAATTTCAGGTTACTTTGTTTCCAGTTTTTTTCCCTCTTTTAATAAGATGAGAATAACATAATAAAAACAAAATCATCCATAGGATATACTTATTTGAAAAAGAATCATAAGAATTTACGTCTTAGAGAATCACTCATATTGGAAGATGCAAAATTTATTTATATACTCCTATATAAATAATCACTTGATGTGCAAAAAAATATAAAACAATTCATTACATATTTAATCATTACTTTAAATGTTTTGATGCTGCAATCTTCTGATACTGCTGGTAATATTATTTTAGTTATAATAGATTTACTCATATCCTTGCTATACATTTCCATCAGTGATACAGCATGATTTTCTTGGCCATCTGAAAATAGAACAATAGAAATTAACAAGCAAATGAAGATACACTCCTTAATAGTGTATTTTAAACCTTTCACAAAAGTAGTATTTCCTCTCAAGAATTTATTTAATCATTAATGCGATTTAACCAGTTAAATTAATTAAAAATTGTACCAGAAATTTAATTATAGTTTAAAGATTGATGATATAAAGTAAACTACATAAAAGATTGTAATTTTAGATGATGTAAGTTAAGACTATTTGTTTCACTTGCTAAGTAAAATGAATGATTACTCATTTAAATTAATACAAATACAATACCTATTATTATTGTGGCTTTCACAAGTTCAAAGAGCAGAAACAAATCAGATGGAAACTCTGGATGATGATATTTAATCATTAAGTTTCCTGCCAATGTCCCTGTCTAGAAAAAAAGAAGAAGAAAATTTAGTTGTCTTTTAAAATTATTAATGATTATCAACAGAATTACTCCAATAAGAATATCTATTGACAAGTCTTTCATTTTTTTTTTTTTGTGATTCTAATCTACTGATATATAGAACTTTAGGTTAATCTGACAAATGCTATACATATATAAGAATTATATTATTATAGTAGATTTTTAAGTGATTGACATACTGTATCGTAATAATGAATTATTGATCTTATTTTAATTTACTCCTGGTATAAAGTTTGGAGTGGTCCAACTCATGAGTTGGATAATAACAGAGAGGCATGTGAGATTATAGATAAAGCTTGTTAAACTTGTGAAGAAAATTGATTCAATATATAGGCCTTTGGTGGAATAAAGATATTATAGAACCGCCCCATTTCTCCTAGAGGCCACTAGATAAAGGTGCAGATGATGACTCTCCTGTGATGATCCTTAATTTAAGATAGGGGAACAAGGAAAGAAGTGAGGCCTTATTTATAGTCCTGTGAACTTTTTGGCATCACCAGTAAAATCACTAAATGAAATTATTTGGCATCAACTTGTATAAAATGTCAATTTTGTTACCATATTAGAAAACAAGAAAAAAGGGAGAGGGTCCAAAGTGTTATAAAATAAGCCATAATTAACTTTAAATTTAATCTCTAATAGAGATTACCCAGTAGCCCCAGGCTTCCCCCGGCTACTGGGCGGGTCCACAGGTGGCGGATAGTGGAATGGCCTGCAGATATGCAGGTTAGCTGCGAATAAGGGTCACCAAATAAGCAGTCCTGGACCACGGGGGGACAGCATCAGCAGGAGTAGGCGTCTGGCCATTGGCAAGGCCAGGTGCATTAAAATACCACATAATCCACTGACGATGCTGTGATGTGGCGAGTAAGTGCTGCCACTAAATATGCACTGCCCCATACTGCCTTGTACGGTTTGGGAGGGGACCTCAAAGGCTAGGCGAAGGGACTCCGAAAATAAACCAGGGGTGGTCTGGACTCTAAGCTATGGTGAAAGCAACCAGACTAGGGGACGGAAACCCCAAAATCAAATGACCCGGTCCTCCAGGTTGGGGGTTGGGCGTGGGGCCAACAACTCTACCTTGTAAAAAACAAACCCGTTATGAAACCTATAAATAGCAAGCTAGATGGAAATAAAGGCAAAAGAAAAAGGAACTCGGATTTGGATTTAAATGTCGCTACATGGAATGTCCGTACGATGCTCCAGCCTGTAAAGATGGCAGAGGTAGCGGAGCAGATATTAAAGTATAAAATAGACGTTGTGGCTTTACAAGAAATTCGATGGAACGGAGAAGGCAGAATTGATAAGAAGGATTATACGATGATGTTTAGTTGTGAGGAGGTCAATAAGGGAAGAAATGGTACTGGATTAATTGTGGCAGGAAAAGCAAAACGGAGTTTACTATCATTTGAGCCTGTTAATGAAAGGATCTGCAAAATGAGACTGAGGGAAAGATTTTTGAATGTCACCTTAATATCTGTGTATACGCCAACTGAGGACAGTGAGGACGAGATAAAACTCGACTTCTATCAGGATCTTGAGAGGACTTTTTTAGCAACTCCACGTTATGATATGAAAATTGTTTTGGGTGATCTGAATGCACAACTAGGAAAAGAAAGTTTTGTTGGTGCAGTATCTGGTCGATTCACGATTCATAGTGAGACAAATAATAATGGAAAGCTTCTTTGTCAGTTTGCGGAAGCCAATAATATGGCCATAAGGAGCACTACATTCGTCACAGAAATATACATTTAGGAACATGAAAATCCCTAAACGGAGCAATTACACAGATTGATCATGTATTGGTTCAGAAAAGGCATGCAACGTCAATTATTGATGTCAGAGCAGCGAGAGGACCAAACTGTGACTCCGATCATTATATGCTTAAATTGAAGCTTAGACAGCGTCTTGTAGTGATAAGAACTGATCAACGGCACTGTAGGAAAGGGTGGGAGATTGATAAGCTGAAAGACCCTGAGATTGCTGAGAGATTTAAAACATCACTAAATAGGAATCTGATAGACAGTCAGGACGATGAGGAGGAAGAATGTGTAGACAAAAAATGGAAGAGAATTAGAGGAGCTATTGAAAAGTCAGCAGAGGAGGAGATAGGTGAGAGGAGTAGGAAAATGAGTGAGGAGTGGTTTGATACTGAATGTCTTGAGGTCCTGCATGAAAGAAATCAATGTAGGACGGTGATGTTGCAGCGCTCTACAAGACAAACTTCTAAATAGGAATCTGATAGACAGTCAGGACGATGAGGAGGAAAAATGTGTAGACAAAAAATGGAAGAGAATTAGAGGAGCTATTGAAAAGTCAGCAGAGGAGGAGATAGGTGAGAGGAGTAGGAAAAGGAGTGAGGAGTGGTTTGATACTGAATGTCTTGAGATCCTGCATGAAAGAAATCAATGTAGGACGGTGATGTTACAGCGCTCTACAAGGCAAACTTCAACGGTATATAGAGAAAGTCGGAAAAAAGCAAAGAAGATTATTCGAAATAAGAAACCGGATTTTATGAAAAGGAAAATAGAGCAGATTGAGGAATTGAGGACAACAAATGAGACTAGAAAATTTTATGGAGCAGTAAAATTTATGAGTCAGGGTTTTCAGTCAAAAATGACTGGATGCAAAGATAAAAATGGTGTGGTAGTGGAGAGCTTCCGAGTTCTATGTAGATGGGAAGAGCACTACACAGAATTGCTCCACTCTGGTGGTGGTGAATGTATGGTTGGTAGTGATGAGGAGGGGTGTGTTGATGACCTGGTGCCATTGTCTATAGAAGAGGTGGCTGAGGCGATTGAAAAATTAAAAAATAACAAAGCACCTGGGGAGGATATGCTGGTCGCGGAATTCTTTAAGTACGGAGGAGAACAATTGATAAGCCAAATGTATTTACTGTTGGAGGAAGTTTGGAGTGGTGAAATCATGCCTCAGGAGTGGTGCACCAGTCTGATATGCCCGATATATAAAAAAGGAGATAAACTCCAATGTGAGAATTACAGGGGCATTTCTCTATTGGCTGTAGCCTATAAAAATTTTTCCAAAATCCTCTCTGTGAGGCTCAACGTATTTGCTGAGAACATACTGGAGGAAAACCAGTGTGGATTTCAGAAGGGGAGAGGAACAACTGATCAGGTCTTTGTGATGAAACAGATAATGCAAAAAGCCTGGGAATATAAGATTGACCTACATATGCTGTTCATAGATTACCGGCAAGCTTTCGATAGAGTAATAAGAAGCAAATTAATAAATGCCTTGCATGAATCCCAAATTCCAAAAAATTTAGTAAGGTTATTGCAAATGACTATGAATAATAGCAATGCAAAAGTAGTTATTAAAGGCAATATAAGCAATAGTTTTAAATGATGGATGGGGTTAGGCAAGGGGATGCTTTGTCTGCCACATTATTTACTATTGCACTTAATAATGTGTTGAAAAAACTGGATTCACCTGGTTGCATACTTAACGCAATGGTGCAAATATGTGCTTACGCAGACGATATATGCCTAATTACCAGGAATTTAAGATTAACAAAAGAAATCTTTGCAATATTGATGGCCATAGGTGAAAATGTTGGGCTGGAAATCAATCAAGATAAGACAAAATACATATATGTCGGAGCCGACAATGAGGCTGGTCCACAGAGCATTGAAATATGTGGTCTTACCTTCGAATGTGTAAAAAGATTCACATATCTGGGGGGTGGAAGTGAATTCTGAAAATAAAATTGCTGCTGAGGTGTACAAGGTATACAATGGCTGGAAACCGGGCATACTATGCCAACCCCAAAATTTTTTCGATCATCGCTTCTGTCACGAGAAACAAAGATAAGACTATATAAGACTTTAGTAAGACCTATTGTGACTTATGCAGCAGAGAAATGGACCCTTTGTACTAGCGCAATTAGTATGATGAATATTTTTGAAAGAAAAATATTGAGAAAAATTTATGGAGCTGTTTGTGAAGAGGGTGTGTGGAGATATAGAAAAAATGCGAAGCTATATGAATTATATAACAACCCCAACATAGTTAATTTCGTTAAAATTAGGCGTATGGAATGGTTAGGCCACCTGATTAGAATGGACCACAGCAGGATGCCTTATAGGGCATTGTCCTCTACAATGTATGGCACAAAAGGAAGGGGAAGACCAAGAAAAAGATGGCTACAAGATGTTGAGAGCGACCTTAGAACACTGGGCGTGAGAAATTGGAAGGAAAGAGCGAGCAATAGGGATGATTGGCATGCTATAATTCAGGAAGCCAAGGCCCACCCTGAGCTGTAGAGCTACATAGTAAGTAAGTAAGTATTAGAAAACAAGAAAAAAGGGAGAGGGTCCAAAGTAATAAAGTAAGTTACAAAATAAGCCATAATTAACTTTAAATTTAATCTTCATTGAACAATTACAATTATACAATATATGATATATACATATTTTGGTGAAACCGATACAAGACAATTTCTGAAATTTATATGGCTAAAAATAAAGAAAAAAAAAAAAAAAAAAAAAAAGAGATATTCAAATTCCAAAGTTTTAAAACCAGAAAATTAGAGCGCACACACAGCAAGCTACACACACAAAAAGATATGAAGATATAGATGTGAACTTTTTTAATAGTACTCATTTGTCATTTGTCCTCAGTGCTAAATAAAGAAAGTAAAAAAGAATGTCACAGACCAAAAAAACCAACCAAGTTCGTTGATCCTCCATGTTTGGACTCCATTTTGGGACAGTGGGACCAATTTTTTTTTTCTGAAAACATTGTATTTTTTAAATTACTAGTTGAAAGGAATACAATAGGTAATTTATAGAGCTCTCTATGTGGGAGAGTATATGAGAGGATGTGGCCCACAGACAAAATATCCAAACTATCAACTATAGGCTGTATTTTTTCAAATAATGGTAATGGTAATAAACTTTAACATTGTTCTTTAATTATGAGAATTGGATAACTGATCTTGACAAAATTTTATAATTTTCATTTATGTATATATGTAATATAGTAAGGGTGAGTATTGTGATCATGAAAATTTCTGAATCTGAGTTTTCATCGGAAATACACGTTTTGGAAATATCCTGAGCCCAAATAACCAAGTCCCGAAAAATGGTTTGTTTGTCTGTATGTGTGTATGTTAGCAGTCTAGCTCAAAAACAAAAAATCCTACGAAACTGATATTACGTATTTAAGATAGATATATGCCATAGATGTGACAGCAACTTTTCCCATAAAATCGGCTAACCGGAAGTGCCACTTTATATCAACGGTGAAATACATTTTAACATTTTTTTCAAAATCGGCTCTAACGATTTTGATTAAACTCAGTGTATCATTTAATATCACCACCAATTAAACTGAGTGGTGTTTAATATCATTTAGGTCTTATACCCGTTGATGTCACTTTACAGGGCTTAAATGCCCAATGTTCATATGCATCTTCCTCTAAAGTACATTTAATATGGTTTATTTTAAATAATTAACTATCTCTCATTATTAAGAGTTACAATAATATGCTAAATATAATTTTTGAAAGAATTTAATAATTGAATAAAGGAGAAAAAAATAAAAATGCTTATCCAACTCGAAAATGAATCTCCGGAAATACTAGTCAGAAGGTTTACTTATAATATATCATTGGAAAGTGGAGAATTTCAGAAAAAACAATGTCTAATATAGAAAATTGTGGAAGGTGAGGGTGCCAAAAAAATTATAAATAATAATTTTTGAAAAGTAATAATATTTAACGTAAATCACATGTTTTCAAGGAAATTAAATGAAATTTACTAACTAAATGTAAACTTTTAAAATATTTTTAAGTTTGAAAAAAGTATTTAAAATCCACCTAATCAAGGCAATGACATTGTTTAAAAAACCATTTCATTGTATTTGTGTGAAAGAAGAAGTAAAATATAAAATCATTTCATGGATGTGTAAAGCATATGTTTGTAACCCTAAATACATTTGCTGTAGTTTAATAATTCTAGATCTGATATTATATTTAAATATTTAGATATCTATCATTCGTTTATACCGAAAAATCACCATGTTACCTTTTAGAAAATTAAATTAGTGAATAGTTTGATATTCCAACAATATCCACTTACAATTAGTGTGACAAATTTTTACCTCTCTACGACAGACAATGAAAATCACTTAATTCCGTTTTAGTAAACTTTGCAATGAAAAATAACAGTTTAATAACTAATAGTCGTACAATCCGAAATCAACGGATCGTGCAATCCATAATCAATGGATCGTACAATCCATAATCAACCGGTGATATAATAAATAGAACTTTTATTATTTTAATGGTATTTATGATTTGTTAGGTGTAATTTTTTAGCTTTAGCTCGGTTAAAAATGCAATTCAAAAATTTTATAATAGCCCAACATTGCCAGAAAATAATTTCTATTTGAAGTTGAGCGGTAAGTGAAAGTTGTGTGTTGCGCGCACCAGATTTTTTTTTTAAATTTTTTAATCCCTTTCTAGAATCTTCTTAAAAGCGAAAAACTCAAAACAATAAGTAAGTTCATTATTATTACTCAGTTTTTTAAAGTAGTTTTATATATTATTTTAAAAACTTTGTTTGAACAAAAAATTGAAATTAAAAGAATAAAGTATTAATACAAGTAAGAATTAATATTTCAATTTTTTGGTTAAAATGTCATTTTTTAAAATCAATTCGTAAAATCAAAGTATAAATTTTGAGCACCAAAACTTCATATCAGATCTGTTACTCAATATTAAAATCAATTTTTGTTTTTAAAAAATGTATAACTAAAGCAGAGAAAAAAGTAATGTAAAATTCAATTTTTGTGGATAAAAACCTTATTTTTAAGCCATTTGGGGAGTCTTAAGATATAAATAAATATAAACAGAAAAACCTTGTATTATTTATATTGACATAAAAAGGCAACTGTTAAATGATATTAGAAAGTTTTCTACGGAAAAAGTGTTTTTCGTTTTACCCAAATGGTCAACTCTGTCCCTTTACACATATTTTGACTTCATTGACCAAAATTATATAACCGAAAAGGATAAACATTATCTGTTCAATGAATGTATGGTCCATACCATGTTTTAATCAAAATTTAAATTTAGATTAAAAAAGTAATTTTGATCTCAAAAATATGATTGATGCCCTTAATCTATGGTCTCAGAATATACACACATTTTTTTTTTCGGTGACTTTTAATTTTTTGAAAACTAATCACTGAAAATGGCTTCTTTTTTTAGCATCATCCATTTGTACTTTTGAAACAGGTTTACAAAATATTACTTTCTGTGTTTGAACCAATAAAATTATAAACAAAATTCTGACCAAGTGTTTTTATAAGTGAACTCCTAGAATGTACAAACATATATACAGTAAATATACATTCTACTTTTTTTTTGGACAAACCACATAGAAATATTTATTTGCTTACTGTAAATGGTTTATTTCATTACTTAAATATTACATTAATTTGCTTACATTTCTGATTGGAACATTTGCAATTAATTCAATGTGGTTTGCAAAAACTTGTAAGTACCCAAAATTCTTTGTTTTACTGATTGAAAGGAACAATAATATTGCTTCTGTCAGGCTCATGTTTGCTCCAAGCTCTAGTTGTTTAGATGTGATCTTATAATCTTTCAATTCGGGTACATGGTTTAGATTAATATGCACTGGACTTGAAATTACTGATTTGTATACACCTAAAATAAAAAATATTTATCATTTAAACTTGTTGAAATATTTACCTATATAAGTTTCTTATTTTATTAATACTTGGACAAATTAACACACTTGTGATTTATGTATATAAATGTCTATTAGAGTTAATATAGAAAAAAATTTCTATTTGACGATATTTATTTTCCTCAAGTGGTTTTAGATTTAGTTAGATTCCAAAATGTATTTTAGAAAATACCACATTGTTTAAACATTTTTAAACTTTGAAATACAATTTTAGATTATACTAAGAGATAGTGGTATGACCTAGCACATATAGGCAAGAGTCCCATAACACCCAATGAGGAGTAGTGTGGGTTCTATTCCCACCAGGATCAATTAATAGTTATTTCATGTTAGTCCTGCAAAATTAATCTTTACACTTTCATTTTGGTTAGTACAAAGCAGCAACCTATAGTTGTCATCTGCAATCATCTTGCTAGACGAGTTCTTCCCGACAATAGTAGTTGGTTGAACTTGACTTTGGAAAGGATATAGCTATGACAATGAATGCCTCATATACATAAAATATATATATAAATATTATAATATTTGGTAATCACCTTGTGCTGTATTCCCAGCTACTAATCTAAAGTTAGAGTGCTTCTTTAAAATTTCTTTAATGTCTTCCAAACTTTCTGGTGTCAACCACAATGAATTATTTACTGTTATTTGGAAATGGGACTTTGGACAGCTTGATGATGATATACAATTATTACAGTTTTGTGATCCATTTTGACAAAACCTCCCGATATCCTAATTTAAAAAAAATTATTATAAGTAATAATCTGAGTATGACTTTGATTCTTAAATTTTGATTTAAAATATGAAAAGCCTTACCTCAATATCCTTAATTTTTTCTTTAAGTTTTTCTGTTGCATCAACAGATAGAGATTTAAATGCATCTAAAATACTCCTGTAACCTGTACAACGGCATATGTTTCCACCAAATGAATTTTCCACATCAGTCATCATTACTTTTTCATTTGATGAAAGTAAGCTATGGATATAATGTAATTATATATATACAATCACAAGACATTATAATATTTCTATTCTGTATGGTCTCAAGGCTCTTACAGACTTATGGATTCTTCCATCATTCTGTAGACAATCTAATCAAACATAAATATTGGAAAAATCATGGCAGGCTTTAATTTTAATTTATTTTAAAATGAAGATGCAATTTAGACATAGAGTTCATTTACCACTTTTATACTGAACAATTTTTGTGCTATATTATCTTCCAGTGAAATAATTTCTTTAAAAACAACTAAATTAAATCTAATTAAATCAATATTGGCATAAATCTTTTCACTTGATATTACTGTACAATAAAAACTGTTAAAAAATTTAAAATGCTAAATAAACTTGGCTAGTTTATCAATTGTTCAGCATAATTTTAGTGACGTGAAATTCATATTTTGCAAATTTCATTGTTTCAATAATTGATCAGTAAGTAACCACCTTATTATTTGAATGAAAAATAACGTAATATAAACAGCAATACTCCATATCTACGTAGCTACTTAGTTGCAGAAAAAAATCAATCATTTGCTTTTTTTTTCATATCCTGATATACTACATTTTGAGGTTGGCTAATAAAGTTTAAGGAAATTTGTAAAAATTCTCATTTTTTACTGTACCTTTTAATCAGTTTTCTGCAATTCCAATGTAATAATTCAAATTATAATATATAGAGTGTTTCCGGATTAAGCAGCCAAATTACAAAAATGAACTAAGGACCTCAAAACAAAGAAAAACATTTCCTCCGAAGGTATATCCACAAACGATTTGTTTAGGAGATTTTCACACCTAAAGATTTTCGTTGATATGAATTATTTACGTTATATGAAATAAATAAAACCTATTTATTTGTCCTAAATATTTTATTAATTAAATGTAAACATTAACATTCTTCATAGTAAATTTTGTTCAAAGTGAAAGTATGTCAGAAAACGCTTTGTTTAGGAGATGGAATAGATACAATACTAATATGGTCTTTTATCCCTATTTGTATAAAAAATATTGCCAACATAAGGATTAATACTATTTGGAATTAGCATAGGGAACTCTCAATAACATTTATCAGTTTGTAAGACGCTAAATGTTAATTATCCCAATTAATGGATGATTTATTAATAATGATGGATGATTAATAAATGCCAAGCCCAGTGGCTTGGCCTGCACGCTCTCCACACCTGATATCACTGGATTTTTTTGTTTGGGGTGACATTAAACACAAAGTCTATGCAAGTCCGGTCAATGACTTTAATTCCTTACGAAGAAGGATACTTGAATCTTGTGAAACAATAACACATATCCAGTGCTATCTGCCACTGCTGCAGTTGAAGAAAGCTGCAGAACATGTCTTCTTGTTCAAGGAAATCACTTTGAACAACATCTAATATGAATTTAATGTTTACGTTAAATTAATAAAGTAGTTGAATAAAAAAATAGATTTTATTTATTTCTATAACGTGAATAATTCATAACAATGAAAATCTTCAGGTGTAAATATCTTCTAAAGAAAGCGTTTGCGGACATACCTTCAAAGGAAGTATTTTTCCTGTTTTGAGGTCTTTAGTTCATTTATGCAGTTTGGCTACTTAACCCTGAAGCAACCTGTAAATTAGAACCACGAGAAATAAAATTAAAGTATTATTTGATTCATAACCTCGCGCGGGCTCATTACCGCGTATGGGGAGCGTCCCACGGGTGGCGGATATGGGGATGGTTGGTGGAAATTCCTTGGAAGTTCCTCCCGGCTAAGTTCGATGGACTCGCTGACCAACAATGAGAGGGGCCCTCCAGACTTGCTGGAGGGAGGGGACCTCCAGACTTGCTGGAGGGAGGAGACCTCCAGACTTGCTGGAGGTAGGGGCCCACCAGACTTGCTGGAGGGTGTGACGTAGGATTGAACGTCCTACTCACATATCTTTAGTTCACCAAACACCACAAATAGTCATGGATCTCCCTAAGGTAAAACGCTCATTATCCGAAAGTAAACTAGTCCCCCGTTCAGGTCTCCGGGTGGGGACTGCTTCAGGGGATTCATGGCGCAAGTTGAAATATAGGGATTTAAATATTGGTACGTGGAACGTAAGGAGTTTAAACACAGCAGGGGGGCTAAAATCGGTCGCGAATGAGATAAATGGGTACAATTTGGATGTCGTGGCTCTGCAAGAGGTTCGCTGGCCAAGGGAGGACTCGATGAGGTAAGGAAAGTACACTATTTGGTACGGAGGAAGCGGGAATCATTGTTTAAGTACCGGGTTTCTAATTAAGAGTAGGTTACTATCCGCTTTGAGGGACGTACAATTCTTTAGTAATAGAATTTCGGTAGCTATATTTCAGGGACGTTGGTTTAAAATCGCATTAATAAACATACATTGTCCGACCGAAGACAGTGACGATGAAGTCAAAAGTGAATTTTACGATAAACTCGAATGGGTTTATGATAAACTACCGCGAAACTACATGAAAATAATTGTAGGTGACGCGAACGCAAAGGTAGGAAGGGAAGAAGTTTATATTCCGACGATTGGTAAAGAAAGTTTGCACGAATATAGTAATGATAATGGGATCCGTCTGATAAACTTTGCCATCTCGAAAAACCTGATAATTAAAAGTACGACGTTTAAACATAAGGATATTCATAAATATACTTGGACATCACCGGATTCGCAAACACGAAATCAAATCGATCATGTCTTGATACAACACAGCTGGCAAAGCAGTATAATTAATGTACGGTCTTATCGCGGAGCAGAATGCGGGTCGGATCATGAATTAGTAATCGCGAAACTTCGACAAAAACATAATATAAAAAAGAGAAAAGAAAACCGTTTCGATTTTGAGAATTTTAATTTGGAAAAATTAAAAAACCCATCAATTAGAAACCAATTCGAGCTAGATGTTAAGAATAGGTTTGAAGCTTTAGAGCTTCCTGACGAGGACAACGAGGATATTGACAAGTTATGGGTAGAGATCAGGGATAATATTAAAGCGGTCGGTAACTCGTGTCTAGGAAAAAAGGATAATAAGAATAACAAACCGTGGTTTGATGAAGATTGCTTAAACATGTGCGAAAAAAGAAAAGCCGCTAAATTAAAAGCTCTAAATAATCCTAGTGAAGACAATCTGGAATACTTCCGAACCTCAAAGAACGAAACGACAAAATTGCTCAAAAATAAAAAAAGGGAGTATCTTAAAAATAAAATAATTGAAATAGAAACTAATAGAATCGAAAATAACGTAAGAGACATGTACAAAGGTATAAACAGATCATGTAAATGTGTAGGGCCCGTAACGTCTGAAATTATGGATGATAATAACAATATTCTGACCGATCCGGTTGACATATTGAATAAGTTTATGGACCACTTTGACAATATTTTAAATACGGGAAATTATGATCTGTGTCCTCCTTCTGAGTACCAGAGTGCTGAACCGTTAATAGAAGGACCAAGTAAAGAGGAAGTTGAAGTAGCTATCGGAAAATTAAAATCATATAAAGCAGCGGGAACCGATAATATTCCTACTGAACTAATTAAAGCATGCGGGGAAGCTGGAGTTTCCAAAATACATCGGTTGGTTAAAAAGATCTGGGTGAACGAGAAATTACCTGAAGAATGGAAAGAATCTATTCTTATTCCGATTCACAAAAAGGGGCCGAGGACGGATTGTAATAACTATCGAGGAATTTCACTCCTTCCGGTATGTTATAAAATATTCACTTTAATCTTAACCAGTAGAATCACGGAATACGCCGAGGAAATTATCGGAGACTACCAATGCGGATTTAGACGGAATCGTTCGACTATTGATCAAATATTTTCTTTACGGCAAATATTAGAGAAAAAATTAGAGTATAACGGTATAGTTCACCAGATGTATATAGATTTTAAAAAGGATTAAGATTCTATTGACCGCCAAAAACTGTATAATATTCTAATCGAGCAGGAGATTCCAAAAAAACTAGTAAATCTAGTGGGGATGTGCTTGACGGAGACACTCAATAAAGTTAGAATCGGTAATAATTTGTCCGAAAAATGTGAGGTTCGTTCGGGTTTAAAACAGGGGGATTCTCTTTCGCCTGTCCTGTTCAATTTGGCATTAGAACATGCCATTAGGGAGGTAATGCGAACCGAGAGAGGGTTGGATCTGGGCGGGACAACATCCGTGCTGGGCTATGCTGATGATCTGGTACTGTTAACCGAAGACCTTGAAACTATAAAACTAAATACGACAACGTTAATGAAAGCCGGTAAAGAACTAGGACTCGAAATAAACGTGGATAAAACAAAATATATGGTTAGCTGCAAAAATGGCGATACTACTGGTGATATCGATATAGATGGTAATATGTTTGAACAGGTAGAGAAATTTAGGTATCTAGGTTCTACGATAACTAGAAAAAACAAAATTGAAGAAGAGATTAAGGTTAGACTGAAGGCGGGAAATGATTGTTATTTTTCTGTGACAAAACTACTTAGTTCGCGCCTCTTGTCCCGGAACTTAAAAATTAGAATCTATAAAACAATTATCTTGTCTACAGTTCTTTATGGATGCGAAACTTGGCCGCTTACACTAAGGGATGAGCAGCGTCTTAAGGTTTTTGAAAATAAAGTATTGCGTAGAATATTCGGACTGAAGAAGGATGAGTTACCCGGAGAGTTCAGACGGTTACACAACTCCGAATTGCGTGAGCTGTATCCGGGTAATATAATCGAGGTAATTTCATCGCGGCGAATCAAATGGGCGTGTAAAGTTGTTGGGCTTGATAACGAGATAGTTCCTAAAAGGTTAATATTTGCTGTGTCGAATGGTAAGCGTCCGAGGGGTAGACCGAAGCGAAGGTGGGAAGATTGCATTAAAGCCGATCTGAAGGGACTGGGTTTGGACGGCGAGCGGTGGAGGGAGGTGTGTAATAAGCGATTGGTGGTGTCGGCATCGAACCTTCGGGTTCGCTAAGCCTTTTATTATTATTATTTGATTCATAAACGTCTGATCATGGGGCAGACTTTTCATATTGTTTGGGGGGTCAGCATGGACCAAAAAAATTTGGAGTAAAAAAAGTTTATATTGGGAATATAAATTATGTATGACAATTAGCATAATCAGCATAATAATTGTAAAACAAACCATACGGTACTCTAAACTTAAAGATAAATGTAAATACTTTTTATTATTATTATTTTTTTTTGCTTTTGAATAAATTTGAAAATATATTAACAAAACAACTAAATATATCTGTGACATGGAGCTAAACAATACTATGCCCATTTTTTTTATTAAATAATTGAGTAACTAAGAAACCAGTATTAATAGCTCAAAGTTATCAAGCTCCTTGTTCAAATGCAAAAATGTGACATGGTGTCCTTTACCTCCAGAGTACAGATTTAGTAACCAAAAAACAAATTTTAATAGCACAAAGTAGTGGAGCATTGACTCATTTGAACAAATATAAAAATGGACATGGTGTTCTTAAATTTCGAGGAACAGATATAGTCTCTAAATCTCTAAATATGTATTTATAATCTCCACAATATAAGGTGTATTTATAGATTTTTTTTTTAGCCAAAAATAAATAATATTATAAATAAACTAGGTAGCTCAATATTATTATTACAACAGAAGACGAAAAGTAGTTTAAAATATAATGAACGCCGACGCTCCTAAACATTGCCCACGGAATGTAGCAGATATTGAAGGCCAATTAAGAAGCCTCTTTTAAAAGAAAAATATTTGCAAAAGTGCAGATTACGCAAAATTGCGCCCCGATGCCAAATCTGATGTCCATCGACGTCCAATCGGTAAAAAAGCAATAAATTAACATCGCTGGACACATCGCCGGGGCCAGAGGTAGTTTTGACCCGCACGATAAAATATTATGATGTTTCTCATAAAATTAAGATAGTTGTAGAGATCATGCTGAGGATGGCTTATGCACCAGAGCATCTTCGTCAAGGGCGTACAATCTTGGTCTACAAGAGAAAGGGTGAAGCCAACAACATATCATCATGGCGACCCATTACGATTATTGATATTGTGCCGAATCATTGAAAAGGTTCTGGATCATGAATTTAGAAAACAGATCACCTTCAGCGAAAACCTGAGAGGTTTTTATCAGAGACCTGCCGAGAACACATGTGAGCAGAAGAATTATCGATGCGATTATAAAGGGCGGCAAATGTAGAAAGAATAATTGAGCGGTGTTTGTGGTTGTTGTCTGCGTTTTTTACAACGCCGGTTACAACTATATCATCAGCTCACTGCATACAAGAGGGTCACCTGACTTGAAAAACGTGACTGCGGCTCTCCTGGGTACTACAAAGTGCGGCGAGAATTACCACAAGCTGGCTATAGATCATCTATACTGCGACCTGAGGGAGCACTACTTTTCCAAGAGTTATGGATACAAGCTAACCAGCGAACAAGAATGTGTGGTGCTCACAGGCTTCACGGATGACCAAAGGTGCTGCAGAGAGGATAATTAACTGTGTACGAACGATCGATGTCAAGATGTTAATCCGAAGAAAAGCGTAGGCCTAATAATTGATAAAGGAGGGGTGCAACAAACAAAGTTCTCCCTAGAGAATGGAGAAGTCATTCACACATCAAAGGCAGATGATGCTGAAAAATATATGAGGATGCACGTTTTCGGGAAAGCTAGTGCTAAATGAGGAAACTGTGAAAAAAAATTAACGATAACTCAGACTGGTGAGCTCTTGTCTTCTAAAGCAGAAACAAAAGAATAAGTTTTAGAAGTAAATTTTTATTTTTTACTTATACTTACATAGGCATTTATGTATTTATTTCTATAATAGATTTATAGTTGAGAAAAGTGATGTCCAACTCATATTCCGCCTGTCACGATATAGAACGCAGAAGGTTCGGTATTGACGTGATGTAGATTTTAACTTATCTGTTCTTAATCTTTCTTTCAAAATAATTTTTTCAAGTTACTTTCCTATTATACGAAGAAAACATAAAAGACTTGAGATACATGATATAGGTAGTAAAATTACTATCCAAATAAATACATTAAGCTGTTTTATAGCACAAGTTGCGCCATCAAAATTTTTGAGGGATACACATTACGACGAGATTTTGAATTTTTAAGGGTGGCACACATCGACGGGGTTACGAATTTTCGGAGTGAAAAGTTTCAAACCAGAGAACATGCGGAAAAAGATGGAACATAGCACCCCAAGTGCAGTTGTATATAATCTAGGATTTTTCTAATTCTATTTTGACATGCACAGTTTTTAAGAACAGGTGGGCAATAAAATACCTCGAGACGGAAGGTTAATTTATGCGCCATCGTCTTTCTGGGGATGAGCGCCCCTTCTTAACAGTATTATAGGCGGCTGAATCGATTTGAAATTATTTGAAACATTTAAAAATACGATCGTTTGAAATATATTAATATCTGTTTGAATGCAGGATTAGAATTGATGTGAAATTTCAGAGCGCATTCAACTATACGGGCAAGTAGTCAAATTATTGAAGTTCAATCAATCGACCGACCGGTAAACGGAAGGAAATTAAATTCAGCATGGCATGGTGAGAAACTGTAAAAAGACTTATTTTGGTACAACCCATTTACTTCATTGGCATAATGAAAAAATAAAATTGTTTAAAGATTTTAATATCGGATTAAATGTTGTTAGATATATATGAGAGGGCAAAACTGAACCAACACAATATGTTTTTGACGTCTCATATTTAGATCGTAATATTAGTGTACCGTGAGCGAAGAATATAAAGTTAAAACTGGCGATTATAGTTATGAAAAATGACCGGTTATCGATTACACTGTTTTTATTTTATTTTTTTTTTAACGGCTCAAAAAATAACCAGAGCAGTCAAATTATCTAAATTGTTGGGAGCGCCGGTCGACCTTCAGTGGCGCTTGCCAATTGTTAGAAAAAAAAAAAATACCGATCGTATTAAAATAATTAATTTTAGCCTACCGATAAAGTAATTGTATTAGAAAAATGTCGAATGAAATAATGAATAAAATAATAATAAAATTCAAATGAAATAAAATTCAAATATTACATTATATAAAACAGCTTAAGAAATAAATTGAATCTTTTTTAGGGAGCGGAGATGACGTCATTGCCCGGGGGCGCCAATGTTTATGGTCGGCACTGATCACGAGGACAGAAAGCAACCTAAATAACCAGTTTAAAAAGATAATACAACACTATTCTCATAGAAATTAGAAAAAAAAAAGACATATAAACTAGGGACGGTTCATTACTCAATGAGATCAAAACTCACTTTGAGTATATGGTGTTATTCAATCTAATAAATGATCTCAAAGTTATTTAAGATTCTTTTACTCGTATAACTGTTTGGTTATTTTTAAGTATTAATGAAGTCGTAAAATCAAATTATTTATTTATCGTACCTGTACATATTCATCACCATTCCTGGAGAGCAAAAGCCACACTGCGTTCCATTAAACTTGGCTAGGGCAGTTTGAACTTTGTTGTAGCCTGTAATTTTGTTTCCAATACCTTCAACTGTTGTTATTGAAGCACCTTGGCAAGAAAGTATTGGTAGTAGACACTAAAAAAAAAAAACTTCATGTTTTCAGAATATGAAGATTTACGAATATCAATCCCTAATATTAATTCGACGATCAATTATGCATATGAACCCTATATACAATGCCGGCTTTGGAGCAGAGCGACCCGTGCAGTTGTCCCGGTACGCCGATCATTAGGGGCGCTCGCCACTCGTCAGGAATTAAAAAAAAATACTGTACTAGAGAAATATTGAATGAAATAAAATTCAAATATTGCACAATATAAAACAGCTTGAGAAATAAATTAAATTTTGTTTAGGGAGAGAAGATGACGTCATTGCCCGGTGGCGCCGAAGGTCTAAGGCTGGCACTGCCTACAGTCATGTAACAATTGTAGTCCAGTCAACGAATGACGAAAAGGAGCGTGCAGAGTAGGAATGGAATGGGGAGAAAGAGTTGGATTTAAGGAATTTGTGAGAGGTACTTGGGAGGTAGACAATACTGGAACTAGATAATTCTTATTACCCTTCCAATCATCAGTGGTGGAATTGGAGCTCTGTTCTTAAAAAAAGGTGAGCAATAAAATATCAAGGGAGGAGAAAGGGGGAGGGTAAGTTCTTGCACCATCGGCGTTGGAGGGGGGATGGGAACTCCTACATATCTGTAACTGAGTATAGTTTTAATTAATGTTTATTGTAATTCAAGTTGTTTTTGGTCATTGTTTGTATATAGTTTGTTTTGTACATTTCTTAGTCGAGCATCCAACGGACGAGTTCCGCCCACCAAGCAGTAAGTTTTAGGATTGTTGAGAATTCGGAATGTTCTCACGGTACTGCGAAGGGTTATGAAACCCGAGGAGAAGATTTGTATGCATTCCGGTCAACACTGGTGGATAAATTGGTGGATGATGAATGAGATATGGCGGAGACGAATCATACTGATGATCTGGATTATAGAAAGTCCTGAATCACTGATATGATCTGTGATACTATTGAAGAATCCCTCCAAACCTGGAAGGTGAAGACGCCGTCCTTAACCAACATAAAGATAGAGCTCTACATGATTGGCGGTGTTATCAGAGGTGTAGTTGGGACTTCGTGGTAAATACAAGTTCAAGGCCAGAGAAAACAGAAACGAAGTGCGCTCAGAGAAATGAAGATCCTGGGACGAGTACATCGTCGAAGAATCTACGTCGAATAATTCTAGAGGAAGGAGGTAAATTATCGAGTAGCAACGGGCAGGTTTACCCCTCAATAAACGTTAGTAGCCCTTTCCCTTAGACATGGAGAGACCCTGGCAACGAACCCTGGGGAAGCTGCCAGCATCTTTATTGGGGCAACGTACCCTAGGGATGATCCGTTCCAGGATAGTGAAGAAGAAAGTTTCGTAAGACGTACAACGATATGCCCACCTGGTACTGACTTGTGTGACCTTGGTACTGGGACATACATGATCTCTGTTTGCCATGGATAGGCAGAAAGCTGGTCGCTCTCCAGGACCTGTTGCTATAGACGTGGTGATCTTGAAGAATATTATCCTATACATTGAAGAGAGGCCTTTAAAGGATACTTTCCCCTCGTTTTTGGCAATGATGACTTCCAATTAAACAACAATTGGATTTATTTGTTTATTTCCAAATTACATGTTTACATGTTAACGTTTCGGGATATTTACTCCCATCTTCAGAACTACAATCCCAATATTTTTTTGTTGATTCATGGCTTAAATCTAATGTATTCCATTGTCAGGTTCTAAATTCATGTTATAATAAATTGAAGTATATAATATCCAGAGCATCGTTATGCTTTTATACCAATAATTGGTAGTGAATATCCCGAAACGTTAACTTATAAACATGTAATTTGGAAATACAACAAATAAATTCAATTGTTGTTCGATTGAAAGTCATCATTGCCAAAAATAAAGAATAACATACAACTTCCCAGAAAAAAGAAAAAAAAGATATTTTTCCAAAAGCTGGAGGATCGCCGATCTGAGACTTCTCTAGAAGGGAGGGGAGGGGGAAGCAGACTCCTCTACTGGGATAAGCAGGTCCCAAAATCATTTAGACCTATCATGTCTCCTCCCGGTGACGAGCAAGGTCCTGGAGAACCTCACAACCTATGACCTATGACCAATCTTTCGTCAGTTCTTACTAGGGCAAGTAATCCACGGAAATGCGGCTCTACAAAGGACAAGGGAATTTCTGAAGCCTGCTGAGAGGGCGTGCCGACGTAGAACTTAAGGTCGAGAGATATGCCATACTGCTGCTCTTCGACATATCCTCCGATTTCTACAGCGTTTGTTGGCCACTAGTACACCAGCAGCTGCAAAAATAGGAAGCTACCAGCAACATATACGCCTTAGTAAGCAGCTATCAACAAGACAGGCCTGTAAAGTTCAGAGGTAATTACTATGAAACTAAAGCTTCCACAGAGAGGGGATGTCCACAAGGATCGATACTTACCCTGCCCTGTGGAAGCTAGTATTTGACGTCCATTCGTAAAACTTGGCCCTACCATCTCAGCCTTGCTATCCGGATATATTTCACCACATCCGACTCCTTGTATAAGTTGGCTAGTTCTTGGTTGCATCTATTCTCTATTCATCATTCTTCTTAACTGGGCCAAATATCTACCGAAGGACTTTCCTTTCGAAAACTAATATTTTAACTAGCTGTTTAAAGAAAAGAGAAATATAGGGAAAATTCATCCTCATAGACTAATTTTCTAATGGAATATATATATATATATATATTTATTTATTTGAACCCTACCGTGCCATTGAGGCAATACGAGTTTTGCAGATCTGGGCAGTTATACGTCTCTGCATAACAACCTGCTTCTGCAACGAGACTTGTTGTCTATGGCCTTATGCCGCTCCTCCTTGTTCCGGCGGCCTCCCTGGCGCGTGTCCAATGGCTTTTTTCTACTCGGACACAAATTCTTTGTAGTACAGATAGTTTTCTTCCGTAACTAGGTGAGGGAAATCGGACTCTGTGATAACATAGAGACAAATCTCCCTCACCACTTTGGCTCTTAGCAACTCAAAGGCGATGCAGTTTGTGATAATGCGCTCAGAATATCCGGGATCCCACAGCTAGGGCATAGAGGATCGATATCTTTTCCAAATCCTTGGAGCTTGTATCGAAAGGCCTCATGCCCAGTAAGGAATGCCGGGAGGAGAGGGAGGACCCACTTGGCTTCAAAACGTGATTGAACGGTGGGGAAACTTCCTTAGAGTGGCCCCTTTCGGGCTTGTCACCCACCGTTCATTCCACACTTTTATTGTATCCTCTCGGATAATAGATTTCCATTTTCTGGGGTTTTCGTCGATTCTCGCTTTGAGGTTTTACACACACACATATATATATATTGTGACCAGTACTAGCGAATTCTGCAAGAGCGTGACCCTCCCCTGGATGGTGGGCAAAATTCCGAAAAAGTTCCTAAAATCAGCTATGTAAAGAAAAGAGAAATATAGGGAGAATTCACCCTCATAGACGAATTTTCTAATATAATATTAAAAAAAAAAAATCGTAAAAATACCAGCACTAGCGTACTCAACTTTGTCATATCACGTCACATCAACAGGCTGTGGATCATCTTGCGCCCGGCCTTTAGCGCACGGCGAGATTATGTGAAACAAAAAATAGAATGTAAAAGCAAAAATTGGCTCGTAGGATGAAGTGGTGTAGGTTTTTGGACGCCATGAGATGCGAAGGCTTCTGCTCCTGTCGCAGTTTGTTCCAACTGGCTCCGAACTGCGTCTAGCAGGTGAAATACATAACGAAGGAAAATTCATTAAAAAAAAAATAAAAATAAACTTCATTTATTCTTTCGAACAACCTTTTATTCGAGCACAAGAAAATACGGTTTTTCTTCTGGACCCAGTTTTTTTTTTCAGTCCAAGAGATTTGTACGCATTGCAATCCAGCAACTATAATCCTCTTGAAAAATTCATCCAATTCATAAAACGGGTCACGATAATAATTTGTATATTTCTCGTTAGAAAGTGTTGTTCTTTTGTTAAAATAGCTTCTGGTGTGAACTTTTTCATGAAGGTAGGTACTGATTATTTGATCTCCGTCTTGATCGGAATCGGGAATTATTCTAATTTTTTTTTCTTAGAGAAATCATATCCAAGCTGCAGGGCCATTTGTAGTAATTTGTCTCAGATTTTGAAAATGTTATTAAAAATTAGCGTTCATTGACCGTGGTTATCGACCATATCACCTAATCAAAGAATTAAGTTTAGGTACTCGTCCGACATACAATTTGAAGATACGTTTTTCGCTTTTATGCACAGTTATATCTGGATTTTTTTTACTGTAAAAAGTTATCTATTGGTGACCCGAGTTAGCAATTTTTTATTTACATATCCAAACTCATATACAGAGTGTCCCGTAAGTAGAAGGTAATATTTAAAGGAGCATTGATAGCAGAACTGAAGAAATACAAAGACGTTTATGTAAACAATGGTTCGATGTTCAGCAGGAAAGTAAGAAATTAAAACTTTTTGATTTTTATAATTCAGTCACGCTTTTTGTTAAATAGGAACTGATAATTAAAAAACTGTTAATGTAAGTAATTAACGATTGCTTCATTACAAACTAGATAAAATTTCTTTTAAATAAAAATAGAATTTGATTTTGTTAAAACCATTTAAAGAGGACTTTTGAGCACAAAAACTCAGATAAGGAGTGGAGGGAGATGGGTAGTGATGGGAGAACGGGTAGGGGTGGGAGAAGCACTTGGTGCAGAGGTGCGCCCATCCCCCTCCCCCTGAGAAAATTTCTGAATCCACCACAGGGGTCTAGCGGCAGATCTTAAAAAGAGAATTGGCAAAAACCCTAGAAAATGGAAAACTATTATCCGAGAGAATACAATTGTTGAAGTGAAATCAACGGTGGGTGACACGCCCAACTTCACCACCGTTCAATCACGTTTGGAAGCCAAGTTGGGCCTCCCTGATTATTGGGTCTCACAATTCCTTACTGGGCATGGGGGCTTTCGAGCCAAGCTCCATGGCCTTGGAAAAGTTAGCGATCTCCTATGCCCTAGTTGTAGGATCCCGGAGACTGCTGATCACATTATCATGAACTACATTGCCTACTGAGTCGCTATGAACTGAATCGCAATGGGCCAAACTGCCGAGGGAAACTGGTCTCTATGTACTCACAGAGTGCTATTTTTCTCAGCTACTTACAGAAGAAAATTACCCGTAGTACAAGGAATTTGTGTACGGATGGAAAGAAGCAATCGGACCCTCACACTTCAACCTCACTAGAAGAATCGGCTCCAAAAAGGCAGGCTGGAACGAGGACTGGAATAAGAAGCTATGAACTGCTGATCATAATACGAAAAATTTTCTGATGGCAGGGTCAGACAGTTAGTTTTGCAATTAAGTGTAACAACCCAATTCTGCAAAACCCGTATTGCCTGAATGGTACGGTAGGATTCATATGAATAAATAAAAATAAATAAGATTTTCTTAATGAATCTATATCAAAGTTTTTTGTTTTAATTGTCATTTATTTGTAATGCAATCACCTTTCTAAACAGTTTTCGATGTTTTTAAAATCTTTTTTTCCTTTTTCATACTTTCAACATTAACTTATAATATTTAAAGTTTTATACGTCATTAGAATAATTGGTCCATATAGTTTTGATAAGATCATACCGGTATTTGAGGTTTCTGTGCCAGGATGGAATTTTCTGCTAGGCGCGCTTATCATTTTTGAGAAAAATCATTCTATTTCTAATGTATGTATGTTTGATTATGAGTAAAAATTAAACATTCATATTCCAGAGTAGTTTTAATTTTTTTACGGTTTTTTGATAATTTATAACACAAGTTTCCAAACTTTTTGGCCCGCGGTCCACATTGAGTCCTCCACTCAAAGTCCCGCAGGCCATGACTTATGTTAAAAAAAAAAAATCATGTTCTATAAATGAGAATTCAGCGCTGAAATAAGCTTTCTAAGAGAAATAGAACATGCAGCAAATGTTGTAGTAGCATCATTTGTTATTAATTTGCTAAATTTCAAGTATTGATAAATTTAAAGTATTTTTAAATACTTTTTTAAATCATGTAATTTAAGATGCTTTGGCGAGCAGAATCGAAGGTGTTTGCGGGCCCTCGTTTGGAGATTCCGGATATATACTATACATATGACAGTGCAAATCTCTTTTCACGCTCTATCGTCTGTCAGGAGCGATGAGTTTTGATGTATGGGGTATTTAACAAAAGGGAATTTCGTTTCTTAAATTTATACCAGAAATGGCAAGATAGAGGGTAAACGAAAAAAAAAACAAGCAAAAACAATATTCCCCAATCATTTTATAACTAAAAATATCTAGTGTGTCCACTCACACGACTTTCCTACCTATTTCAAAAAAGTTTTTATATCTGTACATATGTACATGAAGAAATAAAAAAGAATTGAACTAGATTCATTTTCCTGAAAATCGATCAAACATAAGATTGGAGTACGATTAATTTGATAAACTAATGCAATGTAAATCAAATCGATCATGTCTTGATACAACACAGCTGGCAAAGCAGTATAATTAATGTACGGTCTTATCGCGGAGCAGAATGTGAGACTACCAATGCGGATTTAGACGGAATCGTTCGACTATTGATCAAATATTTTCTTTACGGCAAATATTATTACGGCAATTATATTATAAACTAGCTCATGCTCTTTACCTAACCACTTCCACATATTATTATGCTTCTTATCCTAACCACTACCAAAGTATCCTTTTTGATCCATTTTTTATCTTTAGATGTTTCATGAAAGAAGGTTTAGAGATACCAACAAATAGTAAAGCGAGGTCGAACAGTTTATATGGGAAAATAAGAGTGATTCTATTATTACTTTCTACCTTGAATGCCACCGGAGGAAGGTATGCTGATTTCATCTCCCCTCCTCCCCTTCATTCTAAGGATATCCAAAACAAAGGAAAATTTGAGATTAGAGAACCTACTTCAAACTGCTAAAATTGTGTTAAAATTGTAATCAAAGAGTGGATCAAATTTACCAGTATCAATATCATTTAAGTTAATAAATTCGAATTTCATTTTCACTACCTTGTAATTGTAAAATTATTTTTGTAAAACGTTATACATTCGGAACAGATATGTGAAAAGTTAAAACCCAAATCAGTAGAAATAATACAAATATTTTGTTACTAAATAAATTCATAATCTAATACATAAATTTAAGTTCCAGAAAATTTTGCTCCTGTTATTGAATTTTTTTTACTTTCCTACCTATACTAGGTAAGGAAAGTATTGCAATCGGTTCAAATTTCTGATATGTGGTTTTCGACGGATCTATACGTTTCAGAGTCCGAAAAACACATCATTAGCCATTGGTCTGTCTGTCTGTCTGTGCCAAGATTTTCTCGGGAACTACTGAACCGATTTTGTTGCTTCTTTTTTTATTTTGTAGACTTTTGATTACTGATACCTGTGACAGAAATTCGGTGCTCCATGCGCAATAGCTTGCGCGCAATAAATGAAAAACATTCCTGCATCACACAATCTTCACTATCTCCTCTACTTAACAGAAATTATTGTTTGACAATACTAAGCTATGGCAAAAAGTTTTTAATTAGCAATATTAGTGAGTGTTGAAATTTTTACACTGATCTGCCTTTAGCCGGTTTACATTGCATTAATAATAATAATAATAATAAAAGGCTTAGCGAACCCGAAGGTTCGATGCCGACACCACCAATCGCTTGTTACACACCTCCCTCCACCGTTCGCTGTCCAAACCCAGTCCCTTCAGATCGGCTTTAATGCAATCTTCCCACCTTCGCTTCGGTCTACCCCTCGGACGCTTACCATTCGGCACAGCAAATATTAACCTTTTAGGAATTCTCTCTTTACTAAGCCCAGCAACTTTACAAGCCCATTTGATTCGCCGCGATGAAATTACCTCAATTATATTACCCGGATACAGCTCACGCAATTCGGCGTTGTGTAACCGTCTGAACTCCCCGGTTAACTCATCCTTCTTCGGTCCGAATATTCTACGCAATACTTTATTTTCAAAAACCTTAAGACGCTGCTCATCCCTTAATGTAAGTGGCCAAGTTTCGCACCCATAAAGAACTGTAGGCAAGATAATTGATGAAATCAGCATACCTTCCTCCGGTGGCATTCAAGGTAGAAAGTAATAATAGAACCACTCTTATTTTCCCATATAAACTGTTCGACCTCGCTTTACTATTTGTTGGTATCTCTAAACCTTCTTTCATGAAACATCTAAAGATAAAAAATGGAACAAAAAGGATACTTTGGTAGTGGTTAGGATAAGAAGCATAATAATATGTGAAAGTGGTTAGGTAAAGAGCATGAGACAAAGAAGTCATCAAGATTAGGAGATTTTTATAGAGGAGTAGGCCATTAAGTAGGTTTAGATGAAGTCATAGAAAGTTTCAGAGCTACATTTGTTTAGCTATTATCCCCGAGTGCATGATAATTGAGTTGCTACTTGTATTTTTAGCTTTTAAGTCTTCATCTGTTAGGATTGATTTTCTCATTGTTAAAAAAAATATAATAATCTTCAATTAACACATGAAAACAACTTTTAGGCAATATAAACTGAGACAATCGTGAGCTTAAATTATTGGCAGTTGATAGTGAATTAGTCATGTATTGGATAGTTTTAATAGAGACTACAGAAAGTAGTTGATTTAGATATGTTTTCACTACGATGTTTCCTGACTTTGAAGCCAAAAAGTTTGTTTAGCAGTTAAACGAGTTTCTGTTATCAGCAATATTGGATTTAGTGTATAATTTGGGAGGACAGCTTTTTTATTTTTATTATTTATTTTTAATTATTATATCCGTAATTTTCTCTGATAGAAAAAGCAAGAAACTATATGAAATGATGTTTAAGTGGATCTTGCAAGTCTATTAAAAAAAACAAACAAGATGTCTTGATGAAAGCCTAAAACTAAAGCCATAACGTCGGCCTACAAGAAAATAAATATTTTTTTATATAGTTGTTAGTTTCAGCTTCACCCACAACCAACTTCTCCAACTATCAAATTAATGGTCAAAAATATCTCCATCATTATATATATTTCTAAATCTTACAGCGTTAACTGCAAAGCTTTTCTCTTCTTGTGTGACTGGGTGTCGCGACTTATAGTTGACGACACAGGCTCCACAACCTCCTTCTTTGCACATGTACTTGGTTCCTTTGAGTCCAACATGGTTCCGAAGAAAAGTGAGTAGTGAAGTGTCTGGACCAACATCTGGACTCACTGGAAATAATTAACGATCAATAAATGAAATTTATAGACAATTTTGTTTAAAAATAAATTCTTATTTAGTTCAAGATTTGCAGAAAGCTATCAATAAAACTAGGTAACTTAATTAATTTGAAGGGTTTTTTTTTTTACATTAAAGAGAAAGAGAAAACAAGTGGAAGAGTGTAGGAAGGAATGTTTGAATCACAGTTTGAAACTTTTTAACAGTCATCAAATATAATGAAGATATCTGTTTAATTTCCAATATTAAAAGAGCAGTAAGCCCCGAGCCCCGAATAATGCCAACCCCAATGAGAACCTAACCCATGACTTATCGGCTTTTAAAATAAGCACTACGTGACATAAATACTCATCGACTAATGGTGAAGGAGAAATGGAATATATCAATGAGCAAGCTATCATCATGTTTAGTTCACGTATCAATGGGGTGGGGTTATTGATATAATGGTGTATGTTTATATAGTAATGGCCATGTGTTAAGATATAGGCCATTCCGCCAAACGATACCAAATCATGTCTCACCGAGATTGTGACTTCAGTGTGCAATTTCTTGTATGCTGACTGACCCCAGTGTGAACTGAACACTTTAACTTGGAGTTAAATCATTTTATGTTAAGAATCAATTCGTTTTCACGGTTAAATTAAAATTTTAATCGTCAAAATTTAATTAGCTCACTTGTACATTAATACAATTTGGCAACTTTAATGGAGCAAAAGTTTTCTATTTCTGCTTTAATTAAGTTTTTTTTACATTAGAGCCATCAGACCCTGGTAATATCAGCTATTCGGTTTTATAAGAAATGGCGGCATAAGTTGTCAACACGGGCGGATCTACGGGGGGGGGGGCCTTTCGGGCTGAAGCCCTCCCCAAAATGGAAAAATATAACCATGTTTTATGGGAAAAAAATTTAAAAAATACCTCTTAAAGTATTATTGTTCGTGTAACTACATTTAAAAGTACTTAAGAAATAACTTAAACACCATTTCATATAGGTAGTTAGTTTCTTTCTGTCTTTCCAAAGTAATTATCGTTATTTTTATGAAAAAAAAGGTTTCGGGCTGAAGCCCCCCCCCAAAATTAAATTCTGGATCCGCTAGTGGTTGTCAACACAAAAAATGATAATTCCTCTTTCCCTAAGGTTTCATCTATTTACTCCCATTCTAGAAAAAATACAACAAAATCATTTTTGAGCTTCATATGTTTATTTTACCTGGTTAGCCAACTGCAGGAGGTTTCTATCCAAATAGGATAACCGGATTTACATATATTTTCAGTTTTAATATTTTTCAGTTTATTTTTTTACTGCCTCATCATTCAAAATTTCATTTCTCTCACACAGTTATTTTTTTCAAAAAGGTATATTTAATACATGCTATTTGTACTTTCCTACCTATATTAAGAAAGGAAAGCATTGCGATCGAGTAAAATTTCCGTCATGCGGTTTTCGACGGATCTGTACGTTTAAGAGCCGCTGAGTCTAAAAACCACATTTTCAGCCATTGGTCTTTCAGCCTGTGCCAAGATTATCTCGGGAACTAGAAGACCGATTTTGTTGTTTCTCTTTCTTATTTTGTACGGTTTTGACGTTTTTTCTATAGACTGTAGCGCAATAACGGCTTTAACGATTTTGATGAAACTTTGCTATAATATCAGGAAAAAGGTTATAAAGAAAAGAAAAATGTTTTGGGGCCCAACTCGCTTAGTAAATATTCTATGGTAAAATTCATATAAAAAAATCTGCATATATTCCTCGACAAAGAGAATTAATGGAGTAGCAAACTAATAAAGAGAAAATTATCAAGGTAACTTGCTTGGTTGATAATCGTGCTGATAGTTGATAATTTTTTCTTGAAACTTGACTGCCACACACTAAACTTTTTACTGCCATTCTGCTTAATTAAAAAAATATCATTTCTAAAACTTGTTTAACCTCGAATCTTTTTTTCTTTTTTGTTAACAAAAATGGGTGTTTTTAAATCAAATTTTTACAAATACTGCGATTTAAAAAATACTCCGATATCCTCCGGAAAATTGATTTCTTACAACTTTTTAGCAGTAATTGTTAAAGATAAATTTATATTCATTTAATCGCCATGATTCTCCCGAATGAACTAAAAATTATTTTGTATGAATAAATGTTAGAACAATTTCTAGGTATTTACTAATATCCCCTATACCTAGACATGCTCACAAATTTAGTTTTAAGAATTGTATTGAATATAAAGAAAATAAGATTCTGTAGTTATTTGTTTCGAAAAATACCTCGAACCAAAACAATAAAAAAATTTACGTTAAATATTAAATCTTCGTTAACATTGCTTTAAAATTTTAATTTTGTCGAGATAAGAATTAAACATTAAACTTTTATATTATTCTTTTTACTGTATACAACCATACTTTATTTTCGCTCTAATCTAAATACATAAACAATCACGACACCGTTAAATGAACTCAAGTAAAATTAAATAAAATGTGGGGTCAATGGGTCACAAAATGGCCTCAAGGAAAAATTCAAATTTGATTTACTTGTTTCACTAAGATTACTGTACAATATATATATATTGTAATAAAATATAATTGTTTCCAAACTCTAATCCTTATTCTTTTTAAATGTTGTTTTAATTTCACAACGGTAAATGGAATCTGAGCGTATTTAATTGAACCTTTATGACTTGATCTGAATCAGTTGTTGTTAATATAATCTTTAAAATTAATGTAAAAATTACATATTCCTTTCATCGCAAAATGTGAGGAAGTATCGATGGTGTTCAAAATATCATTATCGATGGTTTTTAAATTTTTTTGTGATAAAAATAAAATAAAACGTTTATTATTTCATAAGAACTATTATAAAATGAATATTCATAATTAATAAACGATACGCTTTTTAAGATATATTATAATTATATTTTGTGATTTATTGTTTTTGAAATTAAAAAAAAATTAAAATAACCGCATATGTAGTAATATAGAGAGCAGGTATAAATATGTATCTGAAATTATGCGTTTTATATAGTCTCTATGATTTTCGAAATTAATTTATTATCAAATTTAAAAATTCTCAGGTTTAAACAAAGAAACTGCAATTTTTTTATTGTTTTTCGTATATATTTTCTAGTTCCGACGTCATATTCGTGTTCATTCGCCTTGAAAACATAATTGTACTAAATATGAAGTTAATCCGACATCATTTACGAGTTCTATGCCCATGTCTACAGTTAACGAATCGGAGGCAATGAAGACTTTATAAGTAATATTTTTATTCATAATGTCTGTTACAAATGGCATCTAACATACTGAAATATGCTATGGTTGACTACAAGAGTTCACTCCAGGTCTCCTACAAGAGTGTAACTTCAAGAATGTAACTGCAAGAGTGTTTTTTTTTCTGAGTGTCATGGGTTTTATATACCCAAGAATAACAAGGGCGTGAGGGAAGTCGGAAGAGGACGACAAAGAGAGCGTGAGAGAGAAGTTATTAACTGTTAAGAATTGGTATCTTTATCTTTTATAATTGATATGAAGTCTGTGAGACCGAGACCTTTTGCCGAAATCTGTTATTGTTCCCTAAGTCTTGATAATGGGTCTTCTGTCTAGTCGGTACTTTCTAGATAACTATTTCTAGGGATAGCTTTGCCCCTTTATCCTTTGAGTTATGAAAATAGGTGATTCACCAATTGGCATATTTAAAAAAACTCTATTATTAAAATGAAAGTTAAATTAATATTAATATTAATAATAATAATATTATTATTATTATTATTTGTTACGGATTAAGTCCATTCCGTAACTTACGAAAATCTGTCTTTCGTCCCACTTTACGGCGTCCCTTTAAGATACAATTTTGAATGATAGCTCATTACAAACAGGATGAAACATGGAACATTTTCCTCCCTAACAATTTTTAGTTTTTGGGATATATTAATCCAATCTTCAATAAAACTCATTATCATTTAGTTTTCGACACTATTTTTCTCTTTTCGCCTCTCTAACACGGCGTCGTATTAAGATACGATTTTGAATAATAAGCTCATTACAAACAGAATAAAATGATGAACATTTCTCTCGCTAATAATATGCAGGTACGAATTTTAGTTTTTGAGATATTTTAATGTATATGCAAAGACTTCAATTAGTCGACTCCAGACGACTTTACCCGAGCGCCACACATCAGAGATCTGGTGGCTCAATCTAATCCACTCTTCACAAAAAATAAGCAAGACGCTCCAAATGAAATTTTTACTTCAAAAATATTTGATATTTTTTGCCTGTTTAAGAGAAATTTTAGAAATATACAGTACTCAATTATAATACTGATTGTATCGTAAATGTGAAGTTTTGATATAAGAAAACTTAATAAAATAATTTTAAAAATTGTTATTTCTAAATATTTGAAAGAATAGAGACTGCAGTCTCAAAATGTTTTTTTTTTTATGGAGAAGGAACTTTATTCAGAGGACTTATTACCAACTTTTTCTAGTCTGAAGGAAAGGTGGAGGTTTGATTCAAAACTATTGAAGAGACAAAAGATCTATATATGCAGGGAGACAGAGTTAATGTGATGCACGATCGAGGTGATGCAATGTGAAATTGGTCTTTTGTTGTCCAAATTTCCTATTTGTTGTCCTTAATTCACATTTTAAATGATTTTTTTGATAGACAATGAGTTGAGAAGCAACATGGTAAGTTATTTATCGAAGAAGAACGAGTATCAGTGTACCAACCGGGATATTCTTGTTGTCATAATAACAAGCAACAAGGACTGCATATAAGAATAATGACATAAATCGGTATAGTACTGGGTTGCTAAATCTCTAAGGGAAAAAGCTAAAAAACAAAATGCCTTACATTAATATCAAAGCTAAACTATAATATATCCTGATGTTCTTTGATTTTATTTCCTATAAGAGATTTGGGATTTATAAATCAATTTCTTAGTCACTGAGCTATATCTACGACACCCAGATGCCCTAAAAGGTACTCTCTCTTCCGG